ATAACCACTGACCAGTCACAGAGGTTTTAGAGCACAGCACTTTTCTGAGTGTTATTGTTTCTGTCAGTTTGAGCTTGAGGTTTGAGGCTTTGTCTTCGTACAATGGATGTTCCCTGACTGGTGAGCCTAAAGCCTTCCAAATGCCTTGTGGCTGTGCCTGGATCCTCTTCTACCAGAGGCCGTAGTTGTTTCCTTAGAGAAATTCCTTGTGAGGTTTCAGGTTTTTCCTGCCCTGCTCCTTTTTTTTAACTATTATTATTTTCAGTAATAACTTCTTAGTGAACATTCCCCAGTGAAGAACATGTGTGTTCGTTAATTGCCCATAGTAAGCGTGTCATTAGCTACTGGGTCTCTTGCTTCTTTTTCTGGGAAAAAAAAAAAAAGTCCATTAAATTTGTAGAATCTTATTTTATGAAAGATAGGATGCAGACCAAAAAGGATATGTTGTTCAGGGAAATGTTTGTGGCTGTACTGTCTTCATTGCTGACTATTTTGTGTCTTAATTCTCAGGCCATTCACAGTTCCCCAGGTCTTGAGACCTAAAGGACAGGAAGAAGGACAGGGGGAAGAGGAAGAGGATGAAGAAGAAGAAGAGGAAGCTGAAAAGGAAAGAACAAAGGTGACATTTAGTTTGTGGTGGGAGCTGCATTAAGATTTACCGTATGTCTCACCTGCTTCACTTGCAGAGTGATGTGGAGCAGACTTCTTTCAGAGAGTGAATCTTTTAACAGTAGCTTGGAGACTGAGCTGCTTTTCAGAGTGGCTACTTCTGTGGTCTGCTGGACTGTGAAATGTCCCCCGAGTACAGCCATCCACTGCTTCCTAGGCTGACCATACCGGAGCAATGACACTTACTCCATGGAGAGGTTTAATCTCCTTTACTCCATAGACAGATGATGCCAGCAAAACACTTTGAGGGTCACTAGTTCTCTGTTGTCATGGATATTCTGAAAATAGTGACGTTGATGGTGTTGCTGGCAGAGGTAGGATGTGGGAAGCACTCTGTCAGGTTTTCTGCCAGGTTCTGTGTTCAGAGTCACTGACACCAATCCTTGCTGGCTCAGCCAGAAGAGTTGATGAACAATGACTGTTCCATGGTCCAACAGAATCACCTCCTGCTCTAGTCTTTTGCATGATGAGTTTACTGATCTCTTCCCTTCCTTCCCATGGTAGGACCATTTTGTGCAGGACCCAGCTGTGCTGCGGGAGAGAGCTGAAGCCAGGCGGCTGGCTTACCTTGCGAGGAAGGGGTGAGTAAGCATCTCCTAAGGGTGAAACCATGGCTCTGCAGTTAGCAGGTGTGTTGCTGCTGCCTGGAATTGTTGAGGGTATACCCGTTCCTTAACATTCTTGTGTATCAGGGTCACTACCGTGGTGGTGTTAACTGCCTCACCCAGCTTCTACTTCACTGCTGGTTGTTCTATTCCATCAAATGAGTAGGTGTGTGCTGTTACCATAAGCATAGCAGAACCCTCTGCAAGATAGGATCTTGGAGAGCACGGCTTCCCAGAGCTTGAACAGCTCCCACGGGGATTTCAGGACAGTTTAATAGCTGATTTTAGCTGACAGACTCAATGTGTAGAAGGATGCAGTCATTGTGTGGTTAATGTTGATACTCAGCTACTGCAGAAGCTGGGGTGAGCTCAAGGGCTCAAGGCCTGATGGCTGAACTCCTCACACCCTGTTGTTTCTCAGAACCAGTTTATTTTATCTCCCCAAAGCATGCAGTGTGCTTGTTGTGATGTCCTTTTTCTGTGTACTCCAGGCACAAGCACGACAGCTCTGCTGTTGTTGGGAATGTGAAGGGCCATGGGCAGAACCGGGAGACAGTGCAGGAACGAAGGAAGAAGGAAGCAAACAAAAGCACAAGAGCTAACCATAATCGACGAGCCATGGCTGACAGAAAGCGGAATAAAGGCATGATTCCTTCCTGAAAGACTCTTAGTGCAGGTGTTGCGTCCTCCCCAGTCCTTTGCTTAGGAGGAGGCAGTTGTGCTCTGTTCCCTCAGCACTCCCTCTGCTCAGGGGACTGGATGTCGCGGTGGTTCAATACCCGGCATTTCAACTCATGTGGAATTGCACGCCCTGGGGGAGGATGAACAGCCCTCCAGGCAGACCCTGACAGCTCTTCAGGTCAGAGACACACGTGTGTGATGGTGGGCTGCGCCGCGATGCGTCAGACAGGCTGCACCAGCCGTTCGTTTCCTTTTGTACTATTTATAATTCTGAGAATTTTATTTTCGTACTGGCTCCTTGCGTCCTCTCTGCAACCCAGGCGGGCTCCCAGGCCACACAGCGGGCAGCTCTGAGAGCAAGGCTTCCCTGGAACAGCCCTCACAGCTTTCTGCTCCACTGAAATGCCTTATCCTGAAGTACAACTTGAAGGTTGATAGGAAAACACTCAGGCTATTTCTGTTGCCGACAGACACACAGGAGTTCAGGTGAATAAAACCTTATCATAAATTTCTGTCCCTTGAGTGAGGTGTGTGAAAACAGAACATGCAAATAAATGATTTTAATCTTTTAGCTGGTGTTTTAGGCTCTTAGGAACCAGATTGATCTTTAACTTGGAGGAAGCTCAACAAGCCTTTTAATGTGCTGTATCTGCAGGCAGTGAAATTCAGTTGCTCTTTTGTGTTGGTTTAGTGTAATGAGATCTAGCCACAGCCACTGAGACTAAAGATACTTGAAAATCAGGATCAAGGCATCCTCTGCATAACAACAGGAGTGTGGAAATGGGAGTTGAAGGCAGCAGGGTCAGAGTCCCTGGGGGACTGCCTCCTCAATAACCACTTGTCACACTCCGTGAAGCAGAACTGCCCTGATCATCATGCTTGCTGTTGGGAAGGCTGGGAGCTAATAGTAAACAGCGGTTTGTAGTTGCTGAAAGAACTTCTCCTGCGGGCTGTCTTTTGTTATGGAGTTGTTCTCTAGCTGGAGAGACACACAGGTTTACTGGGTTTACTGTGTAACCTGTTTGTAAGGTGCTCAAATGCCGTGGCAATGGGTGCTACACTGTGCCTAGGTGAGCCTGGAGTATCTTCCAGCAGCTGGTGATAAACCTGTTCCATTCTCTGTTGTCACAGAGCATTGGCACATTTTTGGAGTGCTGAACTTCAGGTAAACAATTAGGCTTTGCTTGCTTAATCTGCTCTGAGTGCCATCTCCTCACCACCCCCCTCTTTTTCCTTATACTGCAAAGGTGCCTGTGGTTGTCATCCACACGCTGAGCAAATTTAGCAGTGGGTTTTATGTAGTGGTAGAGCTACTGTTCCAGCTACTCGCCAACGCTGCAGAAGGAGCACTTTGGTAATAAGCTCTGTAGGCATGTATGTTGCTGCCTCCTTTTACGCAGAGGGCGGGGACTGTGGGGCTGTATGATTAGTGCTGCTGCCAAACACCATGTGCTGGGGCTGTTTTCAGAAAGTGTAGAAATGGCTGTCACCATTATGCAAATAAGATGAAGTCCTGAGTGCTCTGAGGCCAAGATTTTTCTTTGCATATCAGTACTGCCGAAACCCCCTAATGACAAGGCATGCGAAGAAGGGAATTATATTTACCAACTTCCCCAAATACACTGCCAAGGGAAATCACCTGCTAGGATAACAAACTCTCTACTTTTCTATCGCTGCTGTTCTCAAGACTAATAGCTTCATTTACTCTCTGCCAGTCTACTACGATGCTGTCTCCCCCTTCCTAATACTGTATTCATCTTTAGTTTTGCTTCTAAGAAGCTGCAAATCTCTATCATCTGCTCAGCATAGTGTGAAGCTATCAGCACTGCAGAGCTGGTAGTAAAGCAGGCAGTCTTCTACTGTACGAGGTGATCACAAGAAAGCTTAAACCATTCCTCTTAAGCATCTCTATAAAAGCACAGCTGGGACTGTGAAAACCGTAGTGGTGTTTTGCTCAAAAAACACAAGCACAAGGGGTGTTTTAAGTTTTCTTTGTGTTCTTAAATGTTTTACTCCTGACACCTATTTGCAAACCCAATAAAGCTTCTTTCATTAGCATAGGCTCTAATTTGCTCTGCCTCTTGCATTGCTAAAATTCTTCCCTATTAGTGAAAATATAGTGAGGAGGGAAGAGATGGGACTTCTGGGCTGGTAGAGCGGGAAGAGCAGGAGTCACTCAGCCAGATCTTGCTCCAGGTACCTGAGAGCCTAGTGATTAACTGAATCATTACCCCAACCAGTATCTGAATTGTCCTTCCCTGTGAAGAAGGGTGTTTGAAAGGGCCATGGAGAACAGGGGTGGGCTCTGCAGTGAAATGGCCAAGGAAAGAATCACTTCTTCCCCTCTGCCAGTCAGCGGCTGGAGCTGCACACCCAGCCTGAGGGCAGAATGCTGCTGCAGAGCCCAGGCCTTCCTACTCGGCAGCTCTTCTCTGCTCAGAGGGGGCTGAGGGAGGCTTGGAGTAGCCTGCACAGTCCTGATGAGACAGTTCTTCCCCTCAAGCTGCTTCTTGAACCAGAAGGCACAGAAATAGCTAGGAAGATCTACATCCCGTTTCTGTAGGTCTGGGACAAGCCAGAATTTCTCACCATCCCCCTTTCTCAGCCCAGCAGGCTGATGGGCACGAACCAGCACTTGCCAGCAGCATGGCAGAGGGTCACGGGGCAGGGGGTGAGGCAGAGTCCACGTGGGTTAAGGCTGTGGTGGCTGCAGCTGTGAAAGGGTGACAGGCCAGGACCTGGCCCAGTCCTGCATCAAAGACATAAAATCATTTACATGATCTTTTGCAAATCAAGTCCCCTGAATTTGAGCAAGACTAGAAGAAAGCAGACGGCTGCTTACTCCTCTCAAAGTTCTCCTCAGGCAGAAGCCAAGGGTGGTGTCAGTAGACCACAGCTATATAAATGCTTTCAAGTCTTTCGAACCATTTTTATTCTTACAGTGTCTTGAAACTAAGGTGGAGGGTCATACTTAAGCATTCTCCATCTCCTAGATAAGTTACAGGCAGGGCAAAGGATAAGTCAGGTGAACACATAGGCAAGAGGCATGGACCAAGAATTTTTTATTTTAATACAGTAAGTTTGAGTACAGCAGCAGAACTCCTTGAGTCCATCTTGGTTTACATCATATCAGTAGGTGGCTGATATAATCTGGCTCGGAGGTGTTCAGTCAGGAATCCATTTCCATCTTGATACAGCCAGTTTCAGGAGGCTGAATCATTCTCTGCAGTGTCTTTTGTGACTCCAGGCTGGAGCCTGCTGCTAAGCATTTCAATCTTCACTTCTCTCATACTTGTGCTTGATATGTTTCCACAGTTTCTGTATGGAAAACAAACAAAAACAACCCCAGACAGTAATCTTAGCCAGCTTTTCAGTGGTCTTGGGATAAAGTTGCACTTTAAAATGCAAGTTATTGTGAAACCTATGTCCACAACAGGCAACAGCAAGAAGGGAAAGTGAAGTTTGTACAAAACCACATCCACGGGTACCACCAGGAGCATGGGTACCACCACCCTGCGCTTCCCTGCTCCACAACAGCAGCAGTCCCACGCAAAGATTTCAGGAGGAGCAGCCAGATAGCAGCTGATGAAGCCACAGGCCTGCTCCGGGGATGTGAAGCTGCTTTCTGCTGTGGAACAGACGTGGTGAAACAGTTTGTCCTCCTGCTGCTTTGTCTGTCCCCTCCACCTTCCCACCCTTCTTTCGGGGCACAGCGAGAACAGCACCCACTGATGCTGCTGTGCCTCAGCTCCCCATGTTCATCCTGTCCGGGGAGGAGGCAGCAAATGGAGCCCTGGGTCAGGGGGGCAGGGAAGGCACACAGGGGTTCCCCGCTTTTAGACTACACAGGGAGGAAGCTGCAGACATCCCACTTCCCCTGTTGTTCTATTCTGCAAGCTAGAGCTTATTAGAGCATTCCAGTCACATTGCCTTCCCCTTCCCACACTGACTGGAGAGGGTGTTTCTGTTCCCGGAGATACAGGGATACAAAAGTCTCCTACTCCAGGCTCTGAAATCTGTTGGCACAATCAGGACTGTGAGAAGCGCTGGGCAAGGTGCATGGTGTGCTTGGCTGTTTGTTATAGACACAATGCTTCAGATTTTAAAAAAAAAAAAAAGTTAACTTTCTTGATAATTTCATTTTCCAACCCTGTTTGAGAAGACATTGGCACACAGAAAATTAGTACTAGAATTTAAAAAAAGGAGTTGAGTGCAAAGCTGAAGTTCAGATGTGATTTTATGTTAGCTTTTAACAAGTGACTGTTGCTAAAAAGGAGGGAGGGACCTTGGTCTTGCTCTTTCCTGTATTTCCTCAGCTCACCTAACCCCTGGGGAGTTACTTCAGGGTGGTAAAGCTGTCACTTTGTGTGGTACGAGTTTTCAGCTGGTTTCATGACCTGGCTCAGGAGGCCAAAGCACAGACATGGTGCTGTTGGGAAAGGTGTGGGGGCAGCTCTTTTCAGCATCAGAGCCATTCAGGAGACCTGCCTGTCCTGGAAAACTGCCCTGTGTGCTCCGAGAGACCCAAGGCGCATCAGCACTGCAGGCCAGGAAAGGACCACTGTGCTGCAGATGGAAATGGGCAACACACTAAGTTTTTTTTGTACTCGGTGTAAGATGGAAATAACAGCACCTCCTGCTCTTTCTTAGGGCACGCACTGCGTCACCTCATTCTGCGCATGAAGCTATTTTATGTCCTGTCCGTGTGACTCGATGTCCAGGCAGTTATTATCCCACCACACCTCTACTCTGAAAGGACTTGATCCATCTCACCTAACGTTCACGCCCGGGACAGCAGACTCTCTGTCCTGTGCAGCGCTGCGCGTCTCAGCCACGACTCGACAGGGCTGCAGGTTCTCCAGCCAGTTATCCCCTCCCTCTGCGAGGGGCAGATCGGGAAGGGGGGAGGAATACACACCAACGGGGCGCTGAAGCAAGCTCAATCCATTTTAACCTTCTTGCATCCCACCACCCTCTTCGATACCTTTTCCCCCGCCGGGGAAGCCCATGAACACACTGAAGTCCCCCGCCACCAACAGCCACGGCACCGGCAAAGCCTCCAGAGGAGGGGAAGCTACCGCTGAGCTGCTCGGGGCCTCCTCGGGGAGGCCAAGATCGCGATTCGGCCCGGGGAGCCGGGGAAAGGCGGAGCTGCGGGGCCCCGCGGCTGAGCCCAGCCGGGGCCGACCTGACCTTCAGGGCCCCGGCCTGGGCCCGGGCGGCCCCGCGGTGCGACAACCCCAACGCTTACCCCCTCGTTGAGGTGCTCGAAGATGGCGTCGGCGCCCTGGTCGAAGGCGCGCTCGAAGAGGACGGCGCCCAAGACGATGGTGAGGGCGAAGGTGGAGGTGCGGCGGAACAGCGCGCCGTACACCCGCCCCAGCAGCGCCATCTTGCCCGCCCGCTCTGCGCATGCGCCGCCCGCAGCCCGACGGGCGCGGCGCGGAGCCTCCTGGGAGTTGTAGGCGCTGATGGCGGGCCCGGGCCCGGCGGGAGGTGAGCGGGTGCGGGGCGGGGGGGGGGGTCTGGTCTGCTCCGCTCCGGAGGAGGAGGAGGAGGCGGTTTGAGGGGCCTCTCCCGGGTTGCGGGTCAAAACGGTGTCCTCGCTTCCGCCGGGCAACGCGAGTCTTTATTTCCTGCTTTTTGGGTTGGGTTTTTTGTTTGTTTGTTTTGATTGTGGTTGTTTTTGTGTTTTTTTTTCTGAGGTGAAATCAGCTCTAATTAGCGCAGGCCGGCGGGGTAAAGGCCTCATTCCGGCTCCCGCAAAATAAACAGTGTTGGGGAGCCCCTGCCCGGCTGCGGGCCTTGCTGAGGGGACAACCCCTGCCAGGGGTGGTGCCGTGGAGAAGAAAGAGGGGTTTGCGTTAATGTTCCCTCCCGCTCACCCCCTCGGGCTGGGCGGGGGGTGGTCTGGGGGGTTTTCTGGTTGTTGGGGCCAGCTGCGGAGGGCAGTAAGTGTCACCAGGAGGGCCGGAGGAGGCTCCGGCGGCTGCTCCAGGGGCCTCGGGAGGAGCCTGACATGGCCCCGTGTGTCACGACTGAGGGGGAAACCTTCCCCATCCTGCCTGCCACCTCCTCCTCGCCTTTTTCTCTCGGTTCCCCCTTAGCCAGGGCAAAGGGGCCCCAGGATGGCTCAAGCAGCGATGGGAAAGAGCGGCAGATTTGGGTTTGGAAAGGGAGGACAGACAAAGGGGCGACAGACAGAGGGGCTGGGGGAATCTTGGAAGTCTCCCCCTCAGCAAGATTCTTGTTAAACAAGCACCTACATTGAATTTCAGAACAGATCCTCAAGTGGCACTCGCTGTCGTTTCATTTGTCTCAGCCACTCAGAAAGCGCAGGGGCTAGCTGCGTAGTCATTTCTCTTAATTTATTTATGTTTTTTTCTCTGCATGCAGCTGCTGTGGAGATCTGTGGGATTTCTGGGGTAGGACAAAGCCTCCGCTTGTGCTGGAAGCCCATACAGAGGCTGGAAGCGCCTAACATATTCCTGCACCCTGTGTATAGTGTTATCCTTTAGGCCAGCACTTTGAAAAGCTCGGTCAATTATTATTTTTTCACAGTTAACTGCTAGGGATTGTCTTAAGACCAATCTCCACAATAACCTTTAAACTGCTATCCGTAAGATGGGTTTGTGTAATGGTCAGGTCGGTGTTAATCCTGAATCGAGCTCCAGTTTTACACCAGGTGTAATGGAAATCAGAATCTGTCCCTCTGTCATTGTGAAGGTGCTGGCAGACTCTGCTGGTGTTTTGCGTGTTCCCGCAGAGATATGAGCACATTTAAATTGGCAGCTGAGTATCATAAGCTTGACACTTGGATTTAATTAACTTCACATCTGTCTGGATATCCAAAGTGGCTGAAATGGCCCCAAGCCTGGGCTATAAGAAATCAGGAAATTGAGGTCAAGGCCCAGCAGCAATTCTCAGGGTTCACCATGGAGAAAAGCAGTTACACCCAGATGAAAACAAGTCTGCCGAATGCCTCTTTCTGGGTCACCTTCTTCCCTCTGTCCACATCTTGGGGAAATCAGTGAAAGAAGCCCCCGAGAGTCCTAAATAAAGTCTGTAGCTAGTAGAGCGCAATGTGAAGTCTTTTGGCAGCAATTTGAGAAGGGGAAAATGTAGAATGGTGCACATGAGGTCTTGCCTGGAGTTTTACCAAGCGCCTCAGCTAGATGAGTGAAACACTGGCTAGGTGTCTTAAAACATGCTATTTTTTTAGAAAGCATCGGTAAGCCTCCTTACAGCAGTTGATTTTTTTGTTAATACTTGTAAGCATCGAGATACAAGACAAAGCCCTGGGGTTTTTTGTATTTGGATTTATGCAGAAAGACTTTTAAGCTGGTACAGAGCCTGTCTGAAATCGTTTATGGCTGCCTGTGGGTCCAGGGGTCTATTCGCCTGAATTCAATTGCAAATTAGGGTCTAGAAATATTAAGAGGAAATGGCCAAACTGAAGCAGTTCTTTATAAAGCAGCTACATTTACTTTATTTCATAATGACTAAGATGGATTTAATTAGAAAACGTCTCTGTTTTCAGCTGAATAATGCCCTTTGTTTACTGTTTGAGCCATTTGGGAAAATGGAAATAGGTTAGCCAGTGTTGCTCAGGAGCAGTTTTTATTCCTACGTACTAGTTCAGTGCAAAGCACTGTGGATTGCTGATACTGCAGAGTTGTCAGAATCCAGCTAAAATAATCCATGCAATTGAGTTCTTAAAAAGATGGAAATAAGTGTTCAGTGTAATCTTCAGAGGGGGCAATCTCTTGGAGAATTTGATGCTCCTCTAATTGCTTTTTTTATTCTGTTCATCCCCTGCAATGGGAGTTACTAGGGGAATTGGGGAGCAGGCACCTCTGGGGTGAGGGATCTGGCTGCCTGAAATCTGTAGCAGCTTTCTGCCCTCATTGTTGGGGAAGGAGGGAGAACGAGCTTCTACAATTATTGCTGTCGGGGTGATGAAAGGAAAAGTTTGAAATACGGTTTCAAAGCCTGGCTGCTGCTGGGCTTCTGCAGGCAAAATTGCCATTGAGATCTGTGGAAACTTGTGTGGGACCGCTGCAGAATCTCATTTGTTTTCCCCGTTCACAGCAGCCACTTCTGCAGAGATGGAGTGCAGGAGCCAGCAGCTGAAGCAGGAAGCTTTTATGTTACCAGAAACTTTGGGAGATGATGGCGTAAGATGCAGAAGGGGGATTTTTCAATACTTAAAAGCCACAGCAGAGCCTGCCAGTGGGCCAGATGCTGAGGGTAAGAGCGTTCCCTTTGGATTCCAGCAGCCCCACCACAGTGCAGCAAAGCTGACTGCCAGGCTGGCTGGAAAACTCTGAGATGATCTGCTAAAGGGTGGAGGAAGATTATGGCTTAATGTTCATTAAGCAGCTCTTGGTTTTAGTTTCTTGGGCTGGAGTAGGACCCCAAGCCTTACAGAGCTGAGTTCCACCTTCTGAGCAGGAGCCAGGTCTGATTGTGTTTGCAGATGAAGCAGTTTGCAGTCGCATCGAGGAGAGATGGCTGGCTGATCAGCATCACCTCCCAAGGAGGTATTTCACCTGGGGAACAGGGAACCTTACAAGAAAGAGATTTCAAGTTCATTTGGAGTCTCTGAACATTTTGCCTTCAGTGTGAAGGTTTGCAAGGTGATTAAAAAAAAAATCAGGTCTTTCCATTGAACGCAATTGGATGCAGATGGAGGAGACTACGTTTTAACTTGTGGTGTGAGGCCTGAGAGATTTCCTTGATTTTGACTTGATTTTGAAGCAACAGCTCTCAGGAGTGGGGGAAGGAAGGGAGTTTGGTGCAGTTGCTCGTGAGATGCCATGGCTGGCAGGAGGGCTTGGCAGAACTGCCTTAGCTCAGCCTGCTCAGCTCTAAGGGATTGCCTGTTGCTGCTGCTCTTCCTGCTGATTCTGAGGAATCGTTAGGGAGGCTATGATTGATTCTGACCCTGTTTTATTTATAAAATCTTTATTTCTTGCGCTGGTCTCCATGCCATTTTTTAAATGCATTTGGCTGTCAAGGTGTCAAAAACTGGAGAATTGCTTTTGGAGTTTATCTCCCACTCCATCCATCTTTGGTATTTATCAGGTAGCTTTGTATCCCTCAGGAGAGAGCTTACAGCTCCTTCAGGGTATCTGTTGCACCTCCAGCAAGGGCAGCTGATGGGGACAGGGCTGCACTTAATCACAAACCATCTGCCGTACCAGGATCTGGGCTGCTCCGGGCCCAGCAGAGATGAGAGAACCCGAATTATGTCCCGCTATTTCTCGATACTCCACAGCAGTCTCTGGACTACAAATACATGTGTGATAAGCTCCTCTCCCCTGTGGGAGGAGACGGGCCAGGCTTCTCCAGGTTGCTTTCAGTGGCCGTGGAGTTGGGGGCTCTTTCCTTCTGGCTGTAAGGCTATTGTGATCTTAGTTATTGCAAGTGCTCTACTCGGTGAAGCAGACACATCTGGCTGCCTCAGGCTGGGGAGGATGAGGAGAGCAGTCCATGTTGTACAGGAGTAAATGTGTGGCTAGGTGAACTGAACAAAATGTTACGTCCTTTAGTGTTCATAATGCAGCTTTCCACTTGCAGTACAGGTGAGATAACTTATTTTTTTTTCATCTTTGAGGAGTTGCTGAGTTTCTTCCTTACGTTGTAGAGATGAATAGAGGGGAATTTCCTTCCTCTTGCATGGCAGCTTGTGGAGGCTGTCTGGTTAAAGTCCTGGGGCCCCAGGTGGAGGCTGTAGCATGGACCTCTAGCTCCTCCTGTTTGCACATTGTGTGGTTTTTGCTGCACCTTCCTTGGTGCAGGTGGTGGCTGGGAGCCATTGGCTCTCTGGGGTCTCTGCTTTGTGTGATCCAAACTCCAGCACACTCAGAGAAGGAAGATTCTTTCAGCAGAGACATTGCTTTGGGTAACAGAGGTAAGAAATGCAGATCTGAGCCTCTTCTCCCATGTACATGCAGCAGATGCTGCCTTCCCAGACTCTGATGGATAAGAATATATACTATTGGGTCTCCCCTCATTCTCTGTCTGCCAACCCTAAATGAGTTCTTCTCCTTTGGAAGCAGGTGCTGTAATTCTTGGATCCTTCATCCCCAGAGCAGGCATGGCTGGGTGCCGAGGACCTGCCTGATGGTTCCCAGGCTGTGCTGATGCTGCTCTGCCAGAAGAGAGATGGGGAAAAGATACTTCTGTGACTACTGTGACAGGTCCTTTCAGGACAACCTTCACAACAGGAAGAAACACCTCAATGGAGTGCAGCATCTCAGGGCTAAGAGAGTCTGGTATGACTTATTCCGAGGTGGGTGCTACCAACTGTTTGTCCCTCCCTTTCTGGGACTGAGGAGATGATGGATGAGGTGTGTGTGGGGGGAATAGTTTAAAAAAAAAAAATCAGCACTGATTATTTATATTCAGATTGTCTGCGCCAGTGAATTACAGGCTTCATACTGTTGCTGTCGAGCGGTCTTAGAGGCAAAACCCTCATGTGTCTGGGTGTGGGAAGGGGAAACTGCAGATGTCAGCTGGGACTTGAAATGAGGTGGAAGAGATAGGGAGGTTGTTTCTGAGAACAGAAGTTGAGAATAGAGCTCTCTTGTCTCAGCGTTGCTCATGATGCCAGGAGACACGAGAATGAAGCGAGTTATAGTTTGTGAAGGTGAATTAGGCGCCTTCTGCAAACCAGAGTTGGTCTCTGACAGGCGAGGAGCAAGGAGGATGGGTGTGTATGTGGAGAAAGCAGGCTGGAAGGCAGGCTGTACACACAAGCAGTGTGAACAGGCGGGAAGCTGGCAGCAGTGCTCGGCACTGGGTGGAGATGTCAGTGCTGAGGATGCAGCTGCTTGACTGAAGATCCCAGAAGGATGAAAGGGCTGGGGAAGCAGCTCAAAGTACTCGTATGCTCAAACCTATCTTAGCCAAGGGGGTGAGCAGAGCAGGAGGAGGGCTAGGTGCATGGAGGTTTTGGCAGAGGAGGAATTTTGGGGCTGGAGGCTGCGTCAGGATGTGCTGGAGGAAAGCCCTGTGTCCTCTGCCTGTTTAACAGGACTCTTCCCACGCAGCTCGGCACTCTGACCTGGATCACCACACAGTTACATGTGTCTTGTTGCCAGCCTGAGGAATATGGTGGGAATATGTGTGTCCAGGGTCTGAGAGAGAGAGCAGGACTGGGTATTTTGGCAGTAGCAAAGATTTCGTTTGGGCTAAACTGATTGTGCAACCATTCCCTGTATATTCTTCCACTTCCTTCTGGTTCCTCAGGATCTGGAGTTGCAGGCTGTGTTTGTCTCCCGGCTGGCTAGGTGAGGAATACCCTGCAGAGCTCTGTGTGGCTCTGCTGCCTGCTTACCCGTGTGCAGAAGTTGGAAAGGTTCTCTGTAATGGCCAAATGTGGAGGACCAACAGCCCCAGCCCAGCACAGTTCTAGCTGGGTCAGTGATGGCAAGACAGATCACCTAGTATTTGTCTTCTTACCAGGCTGCAACCCTTGATTTTCCTCTGATTGACAAAATTCCTCATCCCATCCCAAATTAGGGTGTTTGTCTTCAGACTTTCTGGCCTGGCATCAACCAGTGCAAGTTCTTGCACAGTCTGTGGGAGCTGCTCTATCTTTGGGGTTCGTTTTCCCCAGGACGTCTCCGGGAGGTGTCCAGTGGAGACTCGGCACAGGGTTCTGTGAGACTTTGCACAGAGCTTTTCTGAGAGCTATGTGAGTCTGCCTGGTCTTTCTCAGCTGCACGGAAGTGCTGCAGTCCTTGCTTTTGTGTCATGCTTCTTTTCCCCTACTGGCACAGGGAGAAAGCATGAAGCAGAAAGCAAAGAAGGTGATATTTGCAAGCCAGTGAAAAGCTGAAGTGGGGGTTGCAGACAGAGACTGTTATCTGTCAATTTGTCTGTGGCTTAAGTTCCTGGTTGTCATGTAAAATGGCTTCTCACTAGGCAGCTGACCTCTTTGAGACCACGATACGATGGAGTATTGCTGTGCAAGAGATCTTTACCCCGTTTTGTCCTTTGTCTTCCCTAGATGCTGCAGCTATCCTGCAAGAGGAGCAAACCAAGAAACCTTGTCGGAAGTTTCTGCAAACAGGTGAGTTGTTCTGAGGTAGAAATAAGTGCCTGAGCTCCAGCAGCTTCTTTGTGCTGTTCCGGAGAGCCCTGGTGTGTGCGTTTGTCTTGGAGGGGAGTGAAGGTCTTGAGCCTGTGTGCCCGGCATGCAGGTGTAATGAATCTTGGGTTTGCACGCACATTTACAAGGGGGGACCTTGTGTGTGCAGCTCTCATGGAGCTCCGTGACTTTTTCCCCAGGACAGTGTGATTTTGGATCCAACTGCAGATTTTCCCACATGACAGAGCAGGACCTGGAGAAGCTGAGCGCCCAGGTTCAAGGTGAGTCCTCGAACGAGAAAATGTCCAGGGGTCTCTAAGGAGGGGGAGTTGCTGCAGGGAGTGTGGGCTGCAAAGGGGCGCGTGAGGGGTTGTGCAGCGAGAGCCTGCGGTCCCATGCTGCGTGTACGTAGCAAGCCAAGCGTGGATCTCTCAGTGCTGTGTGAGCCTGTGGCGTGGCTGTAAGTGCTGCAGTTCTTCATATGCTTTCTGCTCTTGATCTGCTGGCACAGACACAAACCTAGAGTTGAGCAATGCTGTTACTACTTAGCAGCAAGCATCTGAAGCAGAGAGTGGGCTTTCTGAGCCCTTGGGGTTTTGTTCAGTCAGGGAATAAAAACTGTCAGCAGCAGAGGGCACTGGTACATCACTTCCCCTTAAATTTACAGATTTGATTTCCCCCCACCTTTCTCACTATTGCCAGGGAGCTGCTGCTTCTTCCACTCTTGGGAAGAGCTAGCCTGCTCTGTTGCGTTGTCCTGAGGAGAGGACGTGGGGTCTTGGATCCAGAAATGGCTTTGGGTGGAACTGAAGTTTGGGCAGAGGACAAATGGCAGCTGCACCCCTGCTGTGAGTCTCCAAAGCACTTTTGAACTTTTTCATTCTGGGAATACCACCCCCTTGCCCTAAAAGGGGTACCAGCTCTGTTTTCTCTGTAAGATTCATTACTTTGGTGGTTAGAGAAGATGTGAGTGGCGTGTTGGTGAGAACTTCTGGTATGGTTGAGGTCTCCACTGGAGATTGTCTAGTCCCAACCCTACCTTGCTGAAAGCAGAGTGAATTAGGGCAGGCTACTCAGGACCACGTCCAGTTGTGCTTTGAATATCTCCAAGACTGGAGGCTCTACAACCTCTGTGGGCAACCTGTTTCAGTGTTTGACCACGTTTGCAATAAAAATGTAATTTAAAAAAAATATTTAAATGGAAATCCCTGTATTTTGGCTTGTGCCCATTATCTCTTGCCTCTGTTGGACTCCCTCCAGTATGCCCCTGTCTCAGTGGTAGTGGGGAGCCCAATACTGGACACAGCACCCAGGCATGGCCTCACCAGTGCAGAGCAGAGGAAGCATCACTTCCTCAACCTGCTGACGACGCTCTACCTAATGCAGCCCAACTTCTGAGCACATCTTATGCCCACACTGCCAGCTGAAGCCAACCGTTGTTTTGCCAATAGTCTGTCAAAACCCTGCTAAAGTGTGTGTGTGTGTACATGCATGCATACATATGAGATTTGGGGTGTTTGTGGGATAGAGACACTCTCTTCTGGCTTTCTGAGGGATCAGATGTGGGGAGGCAGGGCTCTGGTGAACCTGGTTGAGCAGGAGGAAAGCAGGCACTACAGAGCTATTCCAGTCCTTGCCGTTGCTGAGTCAGTCTGTGAGTCCCAAGGCGACTCTGTGAATCAATCACTGAACAGCTCTGGCAGTCAATAAAACCCATCTCGTCGGGCTGCGCGGGAGACAGAGCACTCCAGCCAGCCCTTCTTGGAGCAGGAATGCCAGGCTGGCAGTCGCACTCCTCTTCCCTGCCGCTAGCCCAGAACCTCCCCCCGACCCTCCTCTGCTGTGGGGTTTAAGTGCTGGGCTCCTGAGGGGTGGCATGGGACGTAAGCCTATTTGCAGGAACCTGTAGCGTTTCCAGTCACTGAAGGCTGTTTATTGCAGGGGAAGTGAAAGCTCTTTGGAGCAGAGTGGAGCTGCAGGGGAAGGCTGGCAAGCTCCTCTGCGCTTGGGCAGGTTTCTTTGCCAATTACACTTGTTATTGAATATTGACTTCTGTCAAATGAGTCAGGTGTAAGTGGAGAATTGGATAGTGAGAGAGAAGATTCCTGGGGGATTACTTGGAAGGCTTGCATTTGTATTACCAAGTCAAACATTTAATTAAACAATTAGACTTCAAGGAGCGATGGCCAGGGGACAGCAGGGTGCCTCATCCCTGGCTGTGCTGCTCTAACATGAATGTCTGGTTGTAGAGTTAAATCCTGCTCACCTCTTCTGTGGTGTTGCTCCATGGAAATCCGGTGTGAGCCAAGTGAGCGGGCTGAGCATCACGCAGACCTCTAAATCTGATCAGCTGAGCTCACAGAGAGCTCGGAGGGATTTGGTGGAGGGGAGAGCTCAGCAGGACCTGGTGGAGAAGCGATGCGGCTCATAACACGGTAGACTGGATGGAAGGAACAGCTGCAAAAGCCGAGCCGCCGTTCGGTGGGTCGCAGGGGCATTTCACCACTCCTTAGGCTACTGAAGCACCAGTATCTCAGGTGGTGAGGCTTAGGGCAGGGTTTAAGGCAAGCTTGTGTGATGGCAGGTTGGGCTGCAGGTTGCATGAGTCACGCAGGAGATCTGTTCCTCGTGGTGTGTCCGTCAGGCGCCCCCGTCAGTAACGTCCCTCTGTGCATGAGCACCTAGTCCTGGTGTTTCTGTACTACAGAGCGTCACAGGCCGCAGCCAGGGAGATGATGCAGTACTGGTTAGAGCCGTGGTCTGGATCAGGCTGCCTCTCCCTGAATTGTCAGAGTCCTCAAGAGATTTCCAGTCTGAACCCGCAGTGTCTGGGAGGTTTTTGGCAGGCTTGCAGCCTGGAGTGGTCGGAGATTTGAGAGGAGCTGAAAGGCTGGAAGCTCCAGAGCCCTCTCACCATTTTATACAGAGCCTTGAGTGACCGTGGTGGAGGTGACCACACTCTTCCTCTGGTAGGGTAAAAGTGGATGGTCTCTTGGTGGGTCCACAGTGCTGCTTAACTCCGCGTTCCTCAGCTCTGGTGTGTGGGTGTTGAAGCAGAGGAGCTGTCAGACAGCGTTGAACCTGTCTCTCCCCTTGTCCAGGGTCAGACGCTTCAGCAAAAGGTGCAAAGAAATCCTGTGGTGAAGTGGTGTAACTCGTGTTCAGGGGTGGGCTTGCATCCTAAACTACAGCAAAGCCTTTTCTGACTTTTTTTAACACTGCTAAACTGTGATGGCACTTTCTTTGTCATGTAAATATTGAACCTGTCCCTGAATCCCTGTTAAGTGTTTGGTGTTGGTAGTTCTGTGTCAGTGAGCTCTCCTTGCTAATGATGCATTTTTACTACAGCCAAAGGAAACATTACATTATTCTTAACATTTGGCCTTTCTAGTGCAGGGAATTCACCCTGTTGTTTGTGTTAGTCTTGTGGGTTAAGTAGGAAAATTTCTGGATGATTCGCTGTTCTGTAACAGCTTAGAGCGTGTCCTAGTTTGGCTTCAGTATTTCTGCACCCTGTAGAATATACTCATCAAGAAGCAACAGTTTCCACCTTCAGCAGGGAGGGAGGCATATTCCCAGCTGTTACCGCATCAAAGCATTAGCCTTCTGCATCTGCTGCATCATTCATCAGCGAGACACTTCCAGGCTGTCATTTTAAGTACAGTCATGTCAGGAAAAGTCACTGTCAAATTGCCATCTTCTTGCTTAAAGTTATTGGCTCCCCACTAATCTGCGTCACTTCTGCTGGTAGTATTGACACGGCCCAGCCTCTTTGGTGAGCTCCAGCTAGCCAGAGCTGCAAGGGGAGAGTAAGGGCACAGTTGGGTGAGTGTTTGCAATATATCCGTGTGATTGAAAGAATAGGAGTGACCCTGCTGGGGGTGGCTGTCGTCAACTGGTTTAACTTAGCAATGAGCAGCAGCAGAAGTGCTCTGGCCGTCGGCTCCCACCTCGGGGCTGCGGGGCGGTAACTTCTGAGCTCATCAAGCTCATCTCTCAGCCTCAGTTCATGTGCTCTGGAGGAGTTTGGGCTGCCACATCTCCCGGCCCAGGGAGGGAGCTGAAGGATTACATGTAAATCTCTTTGCTGGGCGACCTGCTTGGTACTGGTAGTTGCATCTCACATGTGGTGCTGCCTTGCTCAGGAAGAAAACTCATGCTAAAAGTTGCACGGGGAGAGAAGATAAATCTGGACTCCCACTCTGACATCACTAGAGAGATACTTCATGACTACAGATGCTCTTTTAATCGGCTGTAATTAGACTTTGAAGCAAACGTCCCAGTGAGAAGCCGGGGGGGAAGCACCTTCACACCTTTTCTTGCAGCTGCAGTCTGGCTGGCTGCACAACCATGTGTGAAGAGTGAGGGCTGATAATTGTGTTTCAGAGTTACATCTGTTGACATTTGGGGGGTATTTCCAGTCTCACAGTGGTTTTGGTGGTTTCTGGATGGGACGTCTGTGCTTTTGAGAGGAAGATAAGATGAAATGTTTGCCTTTTTGATGGACATGCGTCAAGGTGGACAGAGCCAGGCAGTTGCCAGTTCCTGCTGCTTTATTTCTCGGCCTGAGGGTTGGAGTGCTTTGGAGCAGTAACTCGTGGAGCTGCATGAATGGGGAGCCAGCTGGATGCCTTTTTAATCTGGACACCTGGGGCCTCATTTAGACCAGTGTGAGTCTGGAGTCATTCCACTGCAGCTTTTCTGGATGAGACAGGGAGTTGTGGCTGCTCGAGTCCGTGGGCTCCCACCAGTTCCTGGTGTGGCACTTTAGGGCAGCTGCCTCGGGGCTCCCTGCTCTAAACAGGAGAGGCTTTGGCAGTTTTTGGTCTGTCCTGTGTTGGGGCTTGGAGTGGGATGAAAAGGAAATCTTGGTGGTAGGCAAAGGTGGGAGAGGTTTTTCTCTGTGATTTTCTTCCCTGTCTCATCGAAGCCTCTCACAACCACTGCTTGTCCCCTTGCTGAGGTGGGACATGCCAAGGCACTCAATAGATGCAGAAACCTGGAACAAAGGGAAATAAGGTAGCTGTGGTCATTTTTGCCAGGTAAGCCTAACCTGGGGCCTGAATTCAGATTTCCTGAGCCTGAGTAGTGCCCAGCTCACCAGACTGAGCTTCTCGCCTCCCTGGTGCCCCGACCTGGCCAGACTGACCCCAAACAGCTCTGCTGGGGCTTTGCTCCTCGGGAACAACTGTAGGAGACTTGAACAGTCCTGTCTCCAACCCTGCCCTTATCACCGGGTTGCAGAGCAGCACCTCGACATCAGGACCACAGCAGGCTGTCTTTGTGGTGGCAGTGAGTACATCGTCACCCCTCCCAGCAACAGCAGATGAAAAGGCTGGATGACAAATTATCCATCTCCGGCTGCTCATTGTGTAGCACATTTCTGCCATCCTTATTAATATTCAACAGGCAGATGAATAATTGGTTGCCACCACTAGGATGAAGTGATCCTTCACTCTGCCCAAGCAATATTAATTTCACACCCTGTCTGGAAATGTATAATATTTTCCTTAAACGTGTGACATATGGTGGGTGGGTGTGGAGCAGGCTCCTGGTGGGCACGGCTGCAGGTGGCTGCTGCAGGGGTGGGACCGCTGCCGGGTTGATCTCTAAATGGGATCAGGGTTTCCCCAAAGCGCTTGTCCCCGGAAAGTTTGATGAGCAGGGCAAAGGGGAATGACACGCAGCTGCCTCGGCTTCCTTTTTATTAATATCAGTGTTTGTTTTTCAAAACATTACATTCCCTTTTCTGTTAGGTGGGAACTTTCCACTAGGCTAGAGATCTAATAGCTCTGAGCATCTCCTCAGCCTGCTCTGCCTGACGTGCTGTGAGGAGTATGACTGTGTTGTTCGTGTCAAGGACTCGTGCTAGGCCCTGCTCTCCACGAACATCCCTTCCTGCTTTGTCACTGGTGCCGAGGGGGGACTGGGGAGCTCAGCTAACTGTCAGCTGCAGATTTCTGCCCAGTGGGAGGGACTGGTGAGTGCTGGGCTGCCCCGCTGGCTCTGTGCCCTTCTGCCCAGAGAGGACAGGGTGCCTGCAGGCATCTGCCCTACACAATCACCCCGGGGTGATGGAGGGGTCGAAAGCTTGGAAGGACCTCAAGGTACCCTGTCTCTTGGTAGACAGCAGAAGTTTTCCTACTGGCGCTGCCTTGCTCGGTCCTAACTTGCATGAGAAAATGCAGGAACTTGTTCCCCTCCCTCCGCCGTGGTCTGCTCTGATTTTTGCATGTGGGCTGTGCTGGGCTGGGTGGCAGCCTCCCGCCCTGCCTCTGCAGGGGCTGGGGATGCATCACGCAGCGTGCGCCTTGAACAGACCTGACAGCGTCTCTGAAATCCCGTCTCCTGGTTGTACCCACCCTCTGAACCGCTCAGACTCTCACGGCCTGCCGAGTCTGCATCGATCCGGACAGACATCCCTGTCGCTCCCACCCGACTGGGCAGAGGTGGCAAAGTCCCTCCTGCCAGTCAGAGGGGCACGTCTTTGGAAACAGCTCAGGGCCAGTAGAGTCTGTTTCAGGCGAGGATGAGGACGATCTACCCTGGGGGGAGATGTCAGACTCCCCTCGGTGAAATGCCCGAACTGCCACTGTGCTCACAGGCTTAGTTCTTGTTCCTGGCTCTGTCTGTCTGGAGCTGTCACCGGCGAGGAGGCCACGCGTCAGATGGCAGGTGGACAGCGGAGGAGGAGGAGGAGGAGGGGCTGCCACAGGCAAACTGCAAACTCTCCACCATAAGAAACTATGCAGGGTAATGAGCAGCGGGTTTAATGGAGTGAAAGAACTGCAGCAGGAGCATTTGATAGCCCTCTTTCCCTCAACCAGGGGAGCAGAGATCGAAGGAGCTGCGGCAGGAGGGAGCAGATGTCCCGCCTGGCACCATTGAGGACTGGCTGGAGAAAAGAGCAAAGAGACTGAGCGCGGCCCAGAGTAACAGGTACTGGTGGCTGGGGAGCACCCGTGTGAGGGCTGGCTGCTGCTTCTGGCCCCCACGATGCAGAGGGGAGATCCCACACAGCGGGTGGGAGTGGGAAAGAAGGTGCAGGTGATCAGGTCCAGGCCGATGGGACCTCCTGAGCTATCATTTAGCCCACCAGCACTGCATGCTTGGTCTTGCCACATGCCACAGACACGCGTGTGGATGTGGTCTTGCGTGCCCACATCAGAGATGCGCGCATGTGTCTCCTCGTGTGCCTGGGGGAAGAGCCAGGCCCTGCTGCCTGTGGCAGCTTCCCCGGGGAAGGCAAGCAGAGAGGTACTCCTGTGCTCTCTGCAGAGTACACAGACATGTCTGGAAGGACAGTGCCACTGCAGTGCTGAGTTATTAATGCCCGGAGTTCAGTGGCAGGAGCCCGGTCTCATCTGTTGACAGCTTCCCCATCCTCTGCCTGCACGTCTCTGCCAGTCCCTGCCACTGAGAGGGTGGAATTAGCTCCTCCTCGCGGCATTCATTCGGATTCGGGTGCCTGCCGGTGCCTGCTGTTTCCTTGCTCACCTGACTGTGCCGCAGGCTTAATTGGATGACATTTGGGCAGGTGCCAAATCTCTTTTGTTCTTTTTCTATTTGCTCCTGTCCTCTCTGTGTTTGGTCTGGGCAGGATCTTCCTTCTGGTGCTTGTCTGGGCTTGTTGCTTTCTGTTTGCTCCATCCATCAGCTCGGCTGCCCTTAGCTGTGCTCGCTGACAGCCGTAACCTTCCTGCCTCCCATACACTTCACTTGCCCCATTTTACTTGTCCTGCCCATGAATCCCTTGGTCTTGGGGTAGATCATCTCTTACAGAAGATAGCCAGCACTATATCCAGAGGAATTTCCAGACCTTCATAACTGCTTAGTCCCTGCTGCCTCCAAAGATGCACAAGACCTGGGATTTCTAGGGTGGTTGCTTTCTACCCAGCCTCTGTCCCTGCAGGCTCAGAAACCATCAACTACAGGAACTAAATACCAACTATTCAAAGCTTCTCTCCTCTCTCTGGCCTTGCCGATGCCTGTCCCTATCATTTCTCTTCTCCCCTTGTGCTCTCCAGCCCCAGCACTGCTCTCCTGATCAACTGTGCTTTGCTTTGCCAGAGAAGTTGTTTTGCAGTGCTGGGGAAGAGGGCCTGTGCTCCTGGTGCCTGGGGAATCTGTGTTCCTCCTGAAAATGCTTTTAAGGACAAGGAGCTTGCTCTCCCTCCTGCAATCCCTGAGGTCCCTGAAATGTGGCAGAATCTTTGGCAGGGTCTAACAGTGCTTTGGGGAATTTGTGGTTTTGGATAATAACCTAGGGGCTGCCTTGTCTGGCTGGTAATGTCAGTAAAGATCATTAGTGTGCACAAAACAGTAGAGAAAGTGCTCGCAAGGACAGTCATCTACAAAAGGAGATGCCAGAGACCCAGCTTCACATACGTTTTCTCTGACAGCACTGAGTAGGAAGGATTCAAGCTGGGATGGAAGAGGTCTTGGAAGCGTGATCTCCCAGAGTGTGCTGGGAAGCTGCCGATGTGCGAAGCCTCAGCCTGCAAGCATAGCTGAATTTCTGTCCCTGCCTTGCTGGGGGCTCTCTAGCAGGATACCTGGCAGGCTGTCACAGCTGGAGCTGCTGCCCTGCGCAGCCTCCGAGTACGCCGCAGCGCAAATAAAACGCTGGGCTGGACTAGAAGTGGCCGCGTGGCCAGGTGCTGCCTTGGCTGAAGGGTAGCACTTTCTTAAAGGCAGCAACTTGAGCACCATTTCTGACTGTCACCTAAATTCGCCCCGCGGATGAGGAGTTGCCACTCTGCCTTCCACCCATCCTCCGTGTAGCCGCTCTCCCAGCCTGGCTGGGCTCAAGGGGACGATCTTAATTTGGAAGCCTCCGCCTGATGCGTATTTCCAAAGTCACGCTGTGCCGTTGCTTTCTGGAGAGCTGGGGTGGGGTTGGATGGAGTTGGCGAAGTTCTCTTAGCAGTGGAGCTCTGCCAGGGTGTGATCATTTTTTAAGCTGATTTCCAAAGAAAACGGAGCATGTCTGTGCATGTGAGTGTGTGCTGCTGCCATCGCTGCCGTGGAGCCCACTTCCCGATTTCCATCAGAACGGGGTCTGAGGCCTCAGAGATCCTGAGATACTACAGGTTTCATGAATGTGGGAGTGGGTAGAGGAGAGGGATCCCATTAATACCTTTGGAAAGGAAATATTCTTGACCCTTGCTAGACAGCAGAGAATCCACATGGGACAGCCATTCAGAATGCTCCAGGTGTAGGTAAACCTTTGATAGCACTTGTATCTTATGAGACACCAGGGAATTGAGTACCCAGACAGCATCCTCCCTATTGATTAGTTCTGCTGCTCACAGAACAGCTCATTAGTTGATAGCTGTGCTGTTCCACCTTGCAGCATGCCTCGTCCTGCTCCCCACCCCACCCCACAGCTGCTGCGGGGGCTCCCCTGCCTGTGTGAGCGACAGTGTCTGGATGTAACAAAACATTCCTGCCCGAGAGGGGCTTGGTGTGTGTCCTGACAGTCTTGTCTCATCCTCGGCTCTGAAGAAGCCCCATCAAGGGGATAAGCATTAGACCAAATGACTTTGCTCTGTGTTAGCTGCCTGGAAAACACTGCACTCAACTTCTGTAGCTGGCTTTTGGCCACATCATCGGCCCTGCAGGGAGTGGAGGGTGCTGCTCCTCCAGAATATTATGTAAAGGAGTTTGATTAGATTTCTTCTGGCATAACAATTAAAAAGATTCATCAGGATCGGAGGTAGAGGCCTGAGAAGCTGGAAGGCTGTTGTCAAGGCTTGTGCTAAAGAACAAATGAGTTTCCTGCACTCAGGAATTAATGGAAAAGGTACGTTTCCCATGAATTTAAACTGCCCCGGCCAAGCACTTTCTTCAGCTGGAGACAAGGGAGCGATGCTTCTTGCTTTTGCACTTCTTCAGTCAGGTGTGTTGTTTGCAGTGGCCTCAACTAGTGAACTTGGGGGAGAGAGACAAAGTGTTTCCCAGGCTGTGAGTTGGAAGAGGAAGCCCGTTCCCTCTGCTGAAGGGTGCTTCTGTGAAAACACACCATCGTTTTGGCAGTTTCTCCATTTCCGAGGGGTCCTTGTCCTTTGGGAAGTGCACAGCTGGCTTGGGATTCAGGCTGCTCGGAAAGAAACATCTGCTAATTTTGCTTGTTCTTCTCAAAACTCAGCTGTGTGAAGAGTCGAGAGCAGCTGGGGGTGGGAGGGACGGGGCCAGCCGTGCTCCCAGCTCGAGGCCTCTCCTGCCACCAGCTGTGCTCCTGGGGGGCTGCGCCGGCCCCCCCCCCCCAGACCCCCTTACCTTAGTGCTCCCAACTTATTTTTCAGTGGCAGGCACTGCGTTAGCAAGCGCCGGCTGGGGCTGGTGGGGGGCGGTGACACAGCAGTTCTGCTGTTGGCTTTGGGGGGTGGGGGGTAAGTATACCTGCTTGTTGATAACCAAAACCCTCCTCTGCTGGACCCCTCCTCTCTCGGGGGGGCTAGTGGGGTGGGCACAGGGAAGCTCGGCTGCTGAGCAGAGCCTTGCTATCAAACTGAGACAACCCCTCCTCACCTCTGCCCTTTCCATCTCCCCACCTCCGCAGCGCTCTGCCTGAGAAACCAGCACCTTTCCAGTACCCACCGGGCTGGCCACCAGTGCAGGATCTGCCCCCGTCCCTGCAGGCCCCCCCACCCGGAGGGTGGCCAGTCCCCCCCACCCTGCAGTGGGGCTGAGGCACAGGGACCCCCGCAGAGGTTGTGCTAGAGGTGGGCTTCTTCCTCGCCTGCTCTGAGAAAGGGACAGAATTATTTATATACACTTCTACGCCAATAAAAGCCTTTCCCCCTGTTACAGCCTGCGTGTGTTCTGGTGTTTCTCTCCTGGCAGTCTCCCGTGGGTTGAGCTGGTGGGGTGGTTGTCTCCCCGCCACTGGAGCAGGGATCTGCGCTCAGCAGAGCTCCAGCCCCTCTCGTCTGGAGCGGCCAGTCCCCCCTTCCCGGGGCAGGATCCGTCCCCTGGCCCCGCTGTGCCCTGCACCGCCTGTAGCCAGGCTTTTAAAATCGGTGTTTAATATTTCCTCCAGTGTTTATGACTTACGTTTGCTTCTGTTACATTCAGTGTGTAAAACTGTTTCGGCTCAGATGCCAGAGCTTCTAATGAAGAGCTTGGGGAGCTCCCATAAGCCCTCTGCTCCTACTCCCACTAGGCTGAAGGTAAGAAGCAAGGAAGAAAAAATATCCCAAGGTTTCTCCTTCTCCGGGAAACTAAGTAAACAGTGAGTGCCAGCGGGGCAAACACCTCCGTGGATCGCTCCCTGCTGTGGGAGCTGGCTGGCCAGGGGCAGGTGCTGGGGCTGGAGCTGGGAAGGGGCGAGGAGGGCCCCCCCGGGGCTGCGCTGGGAGCCGAGGGCCGGGCGCGGTGGCCGGGGAGGCCGGCCTGCCTGCCTCCAGCTTCCCTCCGCTGCTCTGCAAGGGCTGCCCTGCAGAACGTTACAGGGGGGGATTTTAGGGCCGCAGGTTTGGTTTGGCCAAGCCCAGCCCGGCCCCGGTGAGAGAGTTTTACAGAGTCATCTCTCCAGGAGCGGGAGGGAGGGAGGGAGGGAGGGAGGGATGGAGGGAGGGAGGGAGGGAGGGAGGGAGGGAGGGATGAGGCCCGTGGCTTGGCTCCCTCGGGAAGGCGGGTGGGTGCTCGGCGTCGCTGCGGGGTGTGCAGGGGATCCCGGCCAGCAGCCCCCTGCGAGAGCCGGTCTGTCTGTCTGGCGGCCGGTCTGTCCAGGACGGCTGTGCCCACTGCCAGCGCATTCCAGGCTTGGCCGCGCGCGGCGGCCGTAGGTCCAGATTCATGAAGAGCAGCAGGCAGGAGCCAGCTGCCTCCGGCCAAATCTCGCCTGGAGCAGGGGACAGGGCAGAGCTCCCTCCTCGGGGTGCGTGGGCAGATGCTCATGGGGAACCCTCAGCCCCATCCTGGGACGCGGCTTCGACACGAGCAGGGGCTGGATGTGACCGCGGCGCGGCTGCGTGCAGAGCTGCGGCCGGGGAGCTTCGGACGGAGGCCGGTTGAGCTTTAAGCCAAACGAAAGGGTGTTTTTATCCTTCCCGGTGTGACTGTGGTTCCTCTGCTGAGCCCTGGGCTGGCTGGTCTTTGGAGAGCAGGAGCCCAGGGCTTGGGCTCAGAGGATGCGGCATCAGCCCCGTGTCCCATCCTCACCTCCCCTGGGCACGTGTGAGTAAATGAGCACCCACGTGGCACCTATTTGGGGCTAAATAGGAATCCCCTGGAGGAAGGGGACCCCTGCCCTGAATGCAGAGGTTGCACAGCTTCAGGAGGCCCGAATGGGGTTGAAAAAAAAGCCCCCCAAAGGGGCTGTGGGATGCTCCAGAGCGGGGGCGTGAGCCGCTGGGCTCTTCGGCTGCTCCCTCCAACCTGCTTTGATGCGCATCCCCGCCTGCCGGGGGAGAGCCCCGGGGAGCTGGGGGGCTGCTGGGGGGGGGGGGACACACTCAGCCCATCGCCCCCGCCGCTCTGCTGACTTCAAAGGGTGACAAACGGCTTCGCTGCAAGTGTGAGTGGCGGCGGTGACAGCCGGGCCGTGGGCGCGGGCGCCCTCCCGACGAAGCCACGGCCGCCGCTGCCGGCAGAGGCAAATGGGAGAACAACCCCTCCCGCCTCTCCCGCGGATGGTTGGGGGGCGGCGGCAAAGCACCTGCCGACTGTTTCACAATCAACCATCCAAATACTTTGCAGTTCCTCGCCCGTGTCTGGAGAGGTGCTTTCATCAGCCCCCCCAGGTCCCATCCCTGCTCCGTGTGCTCCGATCCCGGTGTGTCTTGGAGCATCCCTGGGACAGCGGCTGGTCCGGGAGGTGTTGCTTTACCCAACACCCCCAAGCTTCCCGGCTCCGAAACTGCTCCCCAGACCCAGCTTAGTTTGGGTAGAGAAACACATCTCTGGCCAAGCGGGCTGGAGCACCGGGCAGCTCCCTGGGTGAGCCGCAAAACTGAGCTGTAAATGAAAATTGCAGTGTAAAACAGAAACGCAGCCGCAGCCCCTCCGTGGTTTTCCTTGCTCCCGAAGAAACGAGCTGCTCGTGACGCAGAAACTCCCAATAAAGCCCGAAAGCCGAGAGCGGGAGCGTTCCCTATCAAGCACCAGCCTGGCTGGGGGAGGCTGAGAGGGGCTGGCGAGAGCATTTAATTAAAATTGGGTTTTCCTGCAAAAGCCTGTGTGATGTCCGGCCATCGGGGCCGAGCGTCGCGTCGCTCGCAGGGTGTTGTGTATTCATGGAGGCGTGTAACTCCCAGGTACTTGTAGGAGCCTGTAAATTACAGGTTTTTATGGGGGTGTATTTTATAGCGTGGTGTCAGGAGATGTAATGATGGCATGTATCACTGCCAGGGACGGGACGCAGCCGGTGTGGGCTAACCGGGGGGGAAAAAGGCTGTTTGCAGAGACCTGCACGGCAGGGAGGAAAATGCCAAAGCAGGGCAGGGCTCTCGGCTCCCTCCCTCGCTCCCGCGCAGCCCCGGGGGCCGGCCGGTCCCCGGCTCCCGCAGGAGGCTGCGGGGATGGGCACGGCCCCGCGGGGCTCAGCGTCCTCGGCAGGTCCCGGGTGCCCCGGGGTGGGCGGTGAGGAGCTGCAGCCCGCTAGCGAGGGCACGAGCCAAAGTGCCTTTTATAGAGCAAGAGCAGGAGTAATTTATCGGGAAGCTTTTAGGGAAATGAGCAGCTCCTGGGCCCCTGCCAAGGCGCAGCCCTGCTGGGCTCTGCCCGGTGTCCTCTGGCAGCTCTTGCTGGGAGAGGAGGGGAGGGACGGGGACGGGGGTGGGAATAGGAATGGGAACGGGGGCGGGATGGGGACAGGATGGAGATGGAAACAGGTATGAGGACAGGACAGGGGAAGGGATGAGGGCAGGGATGGAAATGAGGGTGGGAATGGGGATGGAGATGATGGAGATGGAGGTGATAGGGATGGAGTCGGCTACAGGGATGAGGATGGGACAGGGACAAGGATGGGGATGGAGGGAGGGGGCAGGGAGGGATGGGGCTGAGACCACCCCACACCTCCCGCGGCACCAGAGGGAGAAAAAACCTTTACCAACTTCTTCCCTTCCTACCCCCAAACGCTCCTCAGTCCTATGGCAGGCTCAGCCCCGCACACCCCAATGGTTTTGCCGCCGGTTTTGCCCTGTCTGGCAGCGCCCACGCAGGGTCCTTCTCCCCCCCACCCCGTCACCCACGGCAGCCCCGCACCTCCCCGGCACCTTCCCTCATCCCGCTGCAGCGTAAGTCAGATTTTTTTTTTTTTTTTTTTTCCCCCCCTCTCCTAGCGAGCATTTAATTAAATTAGCGAGGAGCGTCGCTGGCTGTCAGCAGCCGCAATGAGCCGTCCCCGGCTGCGGCAGCGCGGGGACACGGCCGGGACCCCGTGCCGCCCGCCCGCTCCTCAGCCGGGAGCTGCGATCCCCAAACCTGCCCCAAGAAATCCGCTCTCCCAATTCCCACTAAAATTAATTGAGCAGCTTTGAAAAGCTGAGCTTGGGGGATCACATTATTCCTTTTATCTAATTTTTCTTTTATGCTATTGTATTTTCTAGCAAATTAAATTGTCCTCTTTTTCTTTTAGGCCCCCTTATGTTTATTCACAGCATCTATAATAGACCTGGTTAAAAATATATATATATATATATACACACACACATCTCCCAGGCCACGTGGCTTCCTTTGGAAATGCTAGTTCATAAAAAATCAAAACTTTCTGTGGGGAGATGGATGAAATTTCATTATGGGTGCGGAGCCTCCCCCACTTCGCGAGGCAGCCGAAATGATTTCATTGCCGTGGAGCACTTCCCATTTTCATTTCTCATTTGGACGTTCAGTTCAATTTGTTTGATAAATTATACGAGATCAAATTATACAAACCCAAAAAAAAAAAAAAAAAAACCTCACACTCAAACCCCAAATCAATAAAAGGCGGCTGAGTCCTCCTGGCATCCCAAAACCGGGGTGTTCCCCCTCCCTCGGTGCTGGGGAGGCCTGTCCGGAGGGTGGGAAATCCCAGGCAGGTGCAAGGAAACGTGTTTTCCCCGTGTCTGGGTCCAACAGGGCTCCGGGGAGATGAAGGCTGGGGTTCCCCCAGCCCCGACGCCCCGGGGATGGTCTCCTCCAGCCCCATTCCCCACGGGTGGGGGCCCCCCCGCCACCGCCCCCGGCACGGGGCCGCAGCCTTGCCCGATACGCTCACGGCACCGAGAGCTTCCCCTGGTTTTATTTATTATTTTAATCTATTTACCATTAAAAATGCATCACTTGGGGGCTCGGGGAGGGTGATCCGTTAGGCGGGTGCGGGCCCCCCCCCTTGCTCCCCCCCCCCCAGCTCACACAGAAGCGGTTGCCGGTGGTTTGCATGAGCACGGCCGCGTTTTCATCAGCGGGACGGCGACGCTCAGCACGGGGCGGGGGTTACGCCTGGGCCAGACCCCACCGTGGGGTAAATCAGGAGTAACAAGGATGCTCCCCGCCCTGCCAGCGTTGGGGCAGGATCCCCAGCCTGGCCCAGGGATGTGACCCCCCCCCCCCCAACATCCCAGGCCCTTCTCCACCGCGGGCCGGATCCTGGCTCCCCCCAAATTTGCCGTCCAGCCAGATGAAAGAGTTTTTGGGGAAGGGGTTTGCACCACGTGTTCTCCCAGGCAAGAGAAATGGCCTCAAAACATTCATCAAACGGCAGCATAAAATATCAGGGCACTGAGATGGGGGGGGGGGGGGGGTGGGCGTGGAGGAATAAAACTGCACTTGCAGCGATCCCCGGGAAAGGGCAGGATCCAGGGCAGGATCCACGGCCGGTGCGGGGTAGGGGACACGGGGGTGTAATGCCCCCAGCACCGCCGGGAGCTGCCGGGAAGGAGCCGGGTCCCCTCCAGCCCCAGGTTTAGCGATGCTCCAGCCCCCCCCAGGATGTGGGGGGGGCCACGGACCCCCGGCCATTGCCCACCTCCCTTGCCAGGAGGACTCGGCCGCACACTGGCAGTGGCTCAGCAGCACCCATGGGTGCTCCCATGGCCCCGCACCCCCCCCGGCACCCATCACCCTGCCCCATTTGCGCCCTCCCTACGTGACTCCCCACATCGCCAGGAGCCCCAGCAGCCCAGAGCGCTTCAGAAATCCCAGTTTTATTTCAGATCAGAAACAACAAACTGGGAAGAAAGAGAAAAATAAAACAAACAAACAAACAAACAAAAAAATAAAAATAATAATAAAAAAAAAAACAGCTCCAAAGAATGAGAAACAGCCCCAAATCCGAACCAGTCCAGTGCCCAGGTGGGTGCTACATACAGGCTGGGGGGGCTCGGGGGTGTGCAGGGCGGGCGGCCCCGGCCGGCGCGGGCTCCCTGGCCTCGGGGTCGCTCCGGCGCTTCCCAGGAAGGTCGGCTCAAAATGCATCAAGCGGGAGGTCAGCGACGTCCCCCCATCTGGCAGGTGGGGAAACCGAGTCACGGCACGGGGACGGGGACGGGGACGGGGGGTGAAATCCAGCCCTTGGCAGCCAAGTCCATGCAAACGTTCCCGTCTCTAGAAACCATCTCAGGCGCGTGTATTGCTTAGGGGATGATTTGGTTTTTATCATAAATATAGAGCTATAGACGCTAGTATCGGTGTATCCGACGGGATCCGATGCCCGGGGGGGCGATCCGCCCCCGGCGCGGGGAGGGGGCAGCACACGGGGCTCCATGCACGTTACATGCACTTACAGTTTGGTTTGTTTTTTTGTTATTTTCTTTTTTTTTTTTTTTTTTTTTTTTTGCGGCGAGGGTCTTCTCTCTGTGTGTGTGTGTGTGTGTTTGCGTGTCTTTATCAAAGTTTCCATGTTCTGCAAACAGCCACGCGATCGCATCGTCCTGGGCAGCGGGGACCCAGCACGGGTCTTCCCCCTCCCCACTTCAGGTTTGCCCCTCTCTCCCGGGGCGGGGGGGGGGGTGGGGGTGGGTGGTGTTTTGCGCGTCTGATTCGAATATGGAGATCGATCGATCGATCGATCTATCTCTAGTCCTCGCCCTCGGCGTGGCTCCCCGGCGGCGGCAGGCGCGCGGGGCGGCCCCCGCTACTTCATGCCGCTGCGCAGCACCTGGTTGGCGGCGATGAGCATCACGCTGATGATGAAGGCGATGGCGAAGGCGCAGATGAGGCTCTTCCGCACGCAGGTCTGCCGGATCTGCTGGCTGGAGCAGGCTGGGGAGAAAGCCGGGGGGGTTACCCCAATATCCCCCCCCCCCCCCCCGGACCCCAGGGACGCGGTGCCATCCCCTTGGCGTTGGGGCTTTGGCAGGGGGTGTTCGGCGTCCCCCCGCCGCCCGGCACTCACTCTCCACGTCGACGGGGCACTCCTCGGCCGTGCCCATGTGGCTCTCCTCCTCCGTCATGATGATGTTCTCGATGTCCTTCATGGAGAGGTGCTCGCAGAAGGTGTCGTACAGCAGCCGCTTCAGCTCGTCCACCGTCAGCTTCTGCATGTCGCACTGCGGGGAGCGGGCGGGGGCGGGGGGGCTCGCACGGGGGCTGACCCCACGGGCGGGGGGGCACAGCGATGCTGCGGGGTCCCCCCAGCGCCCTTGGGTGCTGTGTTTTGGTCAGACCCCCCCCCCCTCCCCATTCTTGGCAGGGAAAGGTCTGGGGTCCTGCTGACCCCCCCCCCCGGCAGAGCAGGGCTGGCTGCTCCTGCGAGGGGCACCCAGTGGGTGCTCGCACCACCCAGCACCCTGTGCCGCGGGAGGGACACAAAACCTTCCCGCTGGTGCACCTGACCCTGACCCTAACGCTTGCACTAGTCCTAACTTGGAGCCTGACCCTGAGCTTGACCCTCACCCTAACCCCAACGCCAACCCTGACCCTAAACCTGACCTTAATCCTGATCCTAAAACTAACCCTGACCCCAACCCCAACCCTGACCCCAACACTAACCCTGACCCTAACCCAGAGCCTGACCCTGAGCTTGACCCTCACCCTAACCCTAACCCCAACCCTGACCTTAACCCTGATCCTAAAACTAACCCCGACCCCAACACTAATCCTGACCCTAACCCAGAGCCTGAGCCTGACCCTGAGCTTGACACTCACCCTAACCCCAACCCCAACCCTGACCCTAAACCTGACCTTAACCCTGATCCTAAAACTAACCCTGACCCCAACCCAGAGCCTGACCCTGAGCTTGACCCTCACCCTAACCCCAACCCTAACCCAGAGCCTGACCCTGAGCTTGACCCTCACCCTAACCCCAACCCCAACCCTACCCTAAACCTGACCTTAACCCTGATCCTAAAACTAACCCTGACCCCAAACCTAACCCTGAAACCAACTCTAACCCTGAGCCTAACCCAGAGCCTGATCCTAACCTTCACCCTCACCCTAACCCCAACTCCAACTCCAACCCTGACCCTAATCCTAACCCTGACCCTAACCTTAAATCCAAACCTAACCCCAACCCTGATCTTGACCCTAACCCTGACCCTGACCCCGAGCCGTCCCCCCGCGCTCTTGGTGCAGGGCCAGGGGCGCTGCCCCCCCCAGGGGGGGTGCAGAGGGGCTCCCCACCTTCCAGAAGACGGTGTCAAAGTCTGTGCCGTGGAACTTCTCCGGGATGCCCGAGGTGGAGAGCTTAGGCCCCAGTAACGTCACAAACTCCTCGAAGTCCACCTGCCCGTCGCCTGCGGGACACGGAGGTGGCCATCACCCCCTGCCCCCGCACAGGAGCATGTGTGACACTCCCCCAGACCCCCCAAAGGGTCCCCATGGGGCTGCTTGGGGTGGGGGACACCCTGCCTGGATGCTCAGCTGTACCCCAACTCCTGCTCAGTGTGACCGGTGTCCTGCTCCAAGCCTCGGCGGTTTTTTTGGGGACCCCGCTCCTGATTTTGGCACTGCCTGGGGACCCCTTGCTCTGGGGCAACCTGGAGGGACTCTTCTCCTGGGCACGGAACTTGGGGGGCTCAGGCAGCACCCAGAGTCCCCCCCCATCCCACCCAGGAGTCCACCCATGATAGCCCGGAGCAGCAGTCGGTATTATGGGACCTTGGACTCTTGGACATCACCAGCCAGGGACCCCCAAACTGGCTGGGGACCCCTAATACCAGCCAGGACCCCATGGCTGGTCAGGGACCCCGAAAACCAGCTGGGGAGCCCAACACCAGCTGGGGACCTCCAGCAAAGTTAGGGGTCCCCCAACATTGGCCAGGATGCCCAACGCTGGCTGGGGTCCCCAGTGCCAGCTGGGACCCCCGATGCCATCTGAGGACCCCCAGGACTGGCTGGGAAGCCCCGATGCCATCTGAGGACCCCCAGGACTGGCTGGGGACCCCCAGTGTGAGCTGAGGACCCCCAGGACTGGCTGGGAAGCCCCGATGTGAGCTGAGGACCCCCAGGACTGGCTGGGGACCCCCAACACCATGCAGGACCCCGAATACCAATTGGAACCCCGATTCCAGCTGGGACCCCGATGCTGGCTGGGGACCCCCATGGTAGCCAGGCCCCCGGGAGGGGGGGGGTGCTGGGAAGGGGCTGGGGGGGCAGGGTGCCACGGGCTGGCCGTATCCTGCGGCTGCGGAGGATGCTGGTGTCGGGGCTGTCAGGCCGGCACTAACGATGAGTAATGAAGGGAGCAGCGGCTTGGCAGCGCTGCCGGAAAGGCTTTTAAATGGGGGGAAAAAAGGAAACCAATAAATTAACGAGCTCTTTAAGGTCCCGATGAGTGCGGGAGCGACAGGGACGGGCCGACGGTGGCAGCGGGTGCTGGAGGTGCGCAGCCCAGTGGGTGGTGAGGGCACAGCCCCGGGGTGCAGGATCCAACCCAGCGTGCAGGATCGGGCCCGGGGTGCAGATCCAGCCCCGGCAGCCCGGTCCCGGCAGGTTTGCAGAGCGGGGAGAGGTGCCGTTCCCACCCGCAAGCACCCCGGGATCATTAAATCCTCCTAAACGAAGCTGCAGGGGCGATGATGATGACGCTGGGCGAGGCCGAGCCTGGATCAGGCCCTCCCACATCCTGCATCCCACGCCGCATCCAGCAGCCACCAGTGGGGTGGAAACGGGGCAAATCGGGTGTTTCAACAAAGAGGGGGGGGGGGGGGGGGGTGCGGGGGTCCCTGTCCCCGTCCCAGGGTCCTACCGTCCATGTCGAGGCGCTGGATGATGACTTCCAGCTCCACCTCGTTGGGCATGTAGCCCAGGGAGCGCATGGCCGTGCCCAGCTCCTGCTTGGAGATGAAGCCGTTGCCATCCCGGTCGAACACTTTGAAGGCTTCGCGGATCTCTGCGGGGGGGGAGCAGGGATGAACCCAGACACCCCCCACCCCTCCCAGCCCCGGCACCCCCAGCCCCAGTCTCCACAGATCCCCCATGGGCAGCACTGGTGGCCCCAAATGAACCCCCCATCCCTCCGGCCATAGCGGGATCTCCCTTACAGAGGGGAAACTGAGGCACGGCAGGAGGGGCTGCCACCCCTGCAGGGACCAGAGCCCCCCCTCCCCCCCCCCCAGCAATGCTGTGTGTGTGTGTGTGTCCTGGAGGGGGGGTTGTTACAGGCTGGGGTGTGTTGAGGGGGGTATAACGGGCTGTGAATGGGTGTGCTGGGGTCTGGGTGTTGCCAGGGGTGGGGAGGGGGGGTCCTGTGCAGGTGGGGGTACCAGGAGGGGTGTGCAAGGCAGCGTGGGTGTCTGTGCACACACACACACACACACACACAGACATACACGCACCCCCAAAACCTCCCCGAGAAGGGTCAGACCCCCCCCCAGGGGGACACCGATGAACCCCAAGGTCTTTGCTCCGACTCCGGCCGCCTGCTCGCAGCACCCACCCTCCCCTTGGCACCCCCCGGCCCTCCGCAGCCAAAAACCCAGCATCCTGCCCCAAAACCACCTTCCTCGCTGAGCTCAGGGTGCTCACCAGGGTCACTTCAGTGTTCAGCCTTCCCCCCGTGCAGAGGAAGATGGGATGGAAGGGGGGAGAAAGCGGAAGGATTTGGGATTTCTGGCTCAAAATGAGCCCCTGGGACGTGGGGGAAGAGCCCTGCGGGGTGGCAGAGAGAGGCTGTGCCGAGCTCGGGGGGCAGCGGGGAAACTGAGGCACAGCGCTCGCCGCGCCACGTGGCCATCGCCCACCCGAAGGCCTCGTGGTGCGCGCCGGCTCCATCCCGCCTCGGGACTTTGCTCATTTTTAGGGGGAGTTTCTGTCTTTTTGATCTTCCCCCGGAGCTGGAACCGGGCTGATGGGGGGGAAGGGGGCGGGCGAGCTCCTGGCGTGGGGAGCACTGGGAAGCCAGGCCGGGATGTCGGTGCCTCTTCCTCTGCCGGGCAGCGCAACCGCGCCGGGTTCGCCGGCGGCTTCGTGTTGAGCCGGGCGGGAGGAAACAGGGGCTCAGAACTGTGGGTTTGGGGGGCAAAACCCCCACGTAGGTTTGTGCTACCGATCCCCAGCGCTCGGGGGATGTCCCTGACCAGATGATGGCCCACCGGTGACGTCTTCTGAGGTGTTTCAGGTGGATTTGGGGGGTTTGGGGCCTGACAGACCGATGGGTGAAGCTTCTCCGTGACCAGCATCCCTGCCTGGGCAGGGGGATGCTCTTGGTTCCCCCTGCGCCCGCCGGGAGCCCCGCTTTGGTCTAGGCCCCCACACACACACACAAATTCATCCTTCGCAGTTGCTCATCCCAAACCACCCAAAGGGGGTTCCCCATCACCCAGCTCAGGGTGTTGGGGAAAGGCAAGGACAAGTCTCGACACCGGCCAAACCCAGCAGGGTGTGTGTCCCCCCCCCGAGAAGGGGCACCCAGATCCTCCCCAGCCCAGCCAGCACCCTGCCTCAGTTTGCACCCTGTGTCTTCTCAGCGCCAGCGCGGAGCCCCGGGGGGCTGCTGGGGGTTGGGGGGGATGGCTGGGGGTCACAAATGTCCCCCTAAACCAGAGGGTGACCAGGAGGAGGTGGCAGCACGCAGCACGTCCCCCCCCCCCCCCCGCGTGTCTGGTGCCTCGTGGGGTGACCTTGGGGCTCCCGCCGCTGCCGTCGGTCCCTGGCCGCAGGTGGGGTGCTGGGGTGGGGGGGTGCACGAGGCCGGGGGGCACCACCACAACGCCCCGGCGCACGGGCCCACGCCTGCGGGCCCAGCGCTCGTGCACGCACGCGCAGCTTGCCACGGGCGCCGTCCTTGCACGTGCACGCACACGCCTCGCGCGGACACTGGTGCTCGGGCGTGCGACACGCGCAGAGCCCCGGCGCAGGGAGGTGCTTGTGCATGCACACACAACCCCCCCACGCACCCCCACGCACCCCCACCCCCCCGCCTCCTTGCAGTGACACTACTTGTGCGCACACACACACACACACACACACTCTGCAGCAGGGCTGTGCATCCGAACCCGGCGCTCTACGCGTGTGCGCACACCCTGCAGCGAGGCTGGACGTGTGCACACGCGCTGCAGCGAGGCTGCCTGTGTGTGTGTGTGCGCACACACACACACACACACACACGACACCCTGCAGTGCCTGTGCAGAGAGGGCTGTGCATGGTGCCCGAGCCCAGGTGAGCGCACACGCACACGCACACGCGCAGCGGGGCAGGACGAAGGCACGCGTGTCCACACTCGTGCACACGCGCACAACCCCTGCAGTGAGGCTGTGAACGGGTACGTGAGCGCACACGCACACCCTGCAGAGCTCTGCACACACACACACACACACACAGAGTCTTGCACACCCACTGTGAGCCAGTCTCCCTGCCCACCCAGGGCTCCCGGGTGGGATTTGGAGCAGGAACCCCTCACACCCCCCCAAATCTTAGGGCTCCGTGCCTCAGTTTCCCCACGCAGGGGGCTCCAGGCCTGCTGCCGAGCCCCTTCCACCCTCTCCCGAAGGCACAGCGGGGCCGTGCGTGGGGGCTGCCCCGTGCCTCAGTTTCCCCTGCGGTGCCAGCGCTGGCGCTGGGGCAGCACTGGGGGCCGTGGCTGCTGCTTTCCCCCCCCGCAGAGCCGGGCTCCCCAGGGACACCCCAAACCGGGGCCGCCCGGGGGGTACCGGCAGCGCCCGTCCCGCCACCCCGGCAAACTTTTGGGGTGGAAAAAGCCATTCTGGCGATAGCCAGCTGAGATCAGCCCCGCTCATCGCACGGGTGGGCAGACCCCCGGCGGCCGCTTCTCCCGGCCAGCGCCCGGTGGCAGCGGGGCTGCGTGGGGCCGCCGTGCCCCGGGTGGGGTGACTCGGGTGACAGCTGCCCCCAGGGCCCCCCGCGCCGACAGCCACTGTCATATTATGACAGCGGGGAGGGTGGCCCCGCCACGCCGGGGGGGTCCGGCCCCGCGCCGCCACCGCCGGTCCCTGCTGTGTCATATTGTCACAACGGCGACACCGGGGCCGGGACCCCCCCCCCCTCCCCCCCCCAGCTTCCCGGCTCTCTCCCACGCTTTCCTTCCTCCCCTCCTCCTCCTCCTCCTCCCCATCCATCCATCCATCCATCCATCCATCCATCCATCCATCCATCCATCCATCCATCCCTCCATCCATCCATCCATCCGCATCCCGCTCGCTTTCAACCCCCCCACGGCGCCGGGGCGGGGGGGGACCGCGCACCCCACTGCACCCGCACCCCACATGGGATGCGCCCCCCCCCCCCCCAACCCCCCCCCCCGGCCCGCTCACCCTCCAGTTCGTCCTCGGGGATCTCCACGGGGTGCTGCTCGGCGAGGATGTTGGGGATGGTGTAGATCCCCCGGTACATCAAAGCCGCCGTCACCGGGTGGAAAGGCATCTTCGGGGCTTCCCAAAAGCCAAAGTTTAAACCCAAATCTCCTCGGGGGAGGCGGGGGGTTCCCCAGTCGGTACCGGGGTACGCTAAGAACAAGTTACCGGTGCCCGCCGCCCCCCGCCCGGCACCCACCGGCTAGCGGGGGCCAGGGCGGGCGGGCGCTCCCCGTCCTCCCGGGGCCGGTGGCGGGACGGGGCTGGCGGCGGAGCCCCTCACCGGGGAGTCAGGGCGCGGGGGGGGTCCTCGCCGGAGGAGGCTGGGGGCGGCCCGGTTCCCCCGCGCACATGCCCGCCCGAAGTGGAAACGGGAGGGGAAAGCATCCAGGCACCGGCTAAATCCCGGCGGCGGCGGCGGCGGGGGGGACGGGGCTGGCCATGCCGCTCCAGGGCCCCCCCTCCGCCAGCCCCGGGCCGCTCACAGCCCCCGGGGGGCCGCTGCCGCCGGGCCACGCTCCCCGGCGGGGCCCGGCATGGCGGGGCCGAGGCCGAGGGCGGCCTCTTCTTCTTCCTCCTCCCTCCTCCTCCTCTTCTTCTTCCTCCCCCGTTAAGTGTCCCGGGCAGGGCCGGAGCTCGGCTCCCCGCCGCTGGCTCAGCCCCCGGCGCCGCGCACACGCTCCCCCCCCGCCGCCGCCGGCAGACGGAGCATCCTCGGCCGCGGCCCCGGGGAAGCGGCGGCGAAATCCAGGGAAAAGCGGCGGGGCCGGGCGGGTTTTGAATGGTCCCGCCTGGCAAATGGGGCTGGGGGCGGGGGGGGGGGGGGGGGGGGGGAGGGGGGAGCGGGAGGTGGTGCCTCCCCCCCCCCCCCCTTCCCCCGGGGTGGGGAGGGGAGAGGGGGGGGAGTTGCGGCAAAGAGGGTGTCACAGCCACCCGTGAGCGTCCCGGGCCGGATCCTGCCCCGGTGGGGCTGCCGGGGGGGTCCGGGGCACCCAGCCAGGGTGGGTGCTCAGGGGAGCTGGGTGATGGAGAGGTGGTGGGTCCCTGTGACACCCCCTGCCCGGGCTCTTGTCACCCCAGGGTCCCTGTCCTTGGCCCCCCAGGCTGCCACCCACCCCGGGGTCCCTGCACACAGCACCCCAGGCTGCCACCAGCTCCAGGTCCCCACGCGCAGCACCCCAGGCTGCCCAGGCAGTCGTCACCCCAAGATCCCTACACACGGCACCCCCGGGCCGTCAGCACTGCAAAGTCCCTGCACACAGCACCTTGCGCCAGCCCAGTCGTCACCCCGAGGTCCCCAGGGTGCTGCGGGGTCGCGGGGACACCAAGGACCCTCCTGCTCCCGCCCCGGGGCAAAAATGAGCCGTGGAAGAGAAGCGAAGCAGGGCCGGGAGTGAAACCCTCCATCCCTGTTTCCAGTTGCCCCCTGTTTCCCCCCCAAGCCCTGATCATATTTTTCACCCATATTTCTCACTTTGTCATTGATTAATCACAGCTGGGCTCACGCACCAGGGTGGCTCCTCGCTGTGCCACGTCCCCGCAGCATCCATGTCCCCTTGGCATCCGTCTGCGCCCCGGTACCCTGCCAGGGATGCTGCCCGGGATCTGGGACCTCTCTCCTCCCAAATCCCACCGTGCGCCTTGCCTGGCTTGTCTCCCTGGGTGGGGGTGCCCCCCCAGAAGACCCCGACCCATTGGGAGATGGGGGTCATGGTGTCCCCCGTGCCTGGGTGGCATCTCTCTGGCCGGGCATGGTGTCACGGGGAGGCTGCCAAAGCCCCTGCTCCCCGCCGGAGGCTGCCTTTGGAGGTGCTGTGGAGGGAGGGAAGGGGTTGGGGGCGAGGGGGAAAGTGTCCCCAGAGCCATAACGGAGTGGTGGAGAGAAAGGGGGGACGGCTGGCACCTCTCAGGTGCTCATCCGAACCCCAAAGATGCTCGCGAGCGATGGGGAAACTGAGGCACAGCTGGACAGGCTCCAGACGTGCTTCTCGTGTTGGGACTGTCACAAGAACCCCCCAGATTTCAGAATCGGGTTCCTGCCGCTCCAACCCCTTCATCAGAATCCCCCCCGGGGATCCCGCAGCCGCCCCCGGCCACGTGCTCAGCCTCAGCCGTTGCCTCATTCGATTCACCGCTGCTGGGAATTTTCAGGCAGGCGGCAGCTCCAACCTGCCCCTGCACTAAAACCTTCCACCCCTGGCTGGAGCGTCGGCCGGGACCCCTCTTCCAGGTCCCCAAAACCCAGCACCCTTCCCCAGCCGCCTCCCGGCAGCGCTGCCTGTGCAGATGCCGGTTGATTTTAACCAGCTGGGGTCCCCTTTAAGCTATTTTTTAGCTGGGAAAAATTTCTTTCTCCGGCAGAGGAAAACCACCACGACCGCGCTCCTGAGCTGGGGAATTTCAGGGATGATCAAATCCCCGATGCTGCGGGGTGTCACCTCCCAGGGCAGGATCCTTCCTCCCAGGATGTCGCAGCTCAGGGGCGGCTTTTTCCAGCTCTGATGAAACTTCATCCTTCACCAGGGCTCAGGACAATGTTGGGGCACACAGACCTGCACCCCACGAGGAGTCTCGAGTGTCTAATATTGCAGTTGAGCTCACAGCACAGCCCGGAGGGGGAAGATGCTGGTAATAAATAATAAAGGACTTTTGGGGAGAAAGAAGCCCCAAAAGGCAAAGCAGCCAAATTGTAAATCTCCTCCTTTTTTTCTTAGCTGATCAATGTGCTCCTCAATGTTAACAAAGTTGCCCTCCCAATTAATTTGCCCACCAGAGGCCCCGGGGGTGGAAACTCATTAATTTCCCACCGCCCAAGCCCCAACAGGAATAACACTGCAAATTTCTGGGCTTTTCCCCACTAATCCCTGCAGGAGATCTCCGCGCTCGGCAGCAACAGGGACCTGTCGGAGCATCTTTCCCCGCGGACGGGGGGGAGGCAGCCGGACCAGCCCGGCTCCCACTGCTCCGTCCCTGGGGATGGAGGGCGTGAGCACACGGGGGAAACTGAGAATTAAACAACAGCTTAATTGCATTTGAAGTCGTGCTTGTTTTTTGTTCATTGGGGATCATCGGCGGAGAGCGCGCGGTGTTTTCCCTGAGCCCAGCTGCAGAGCCCCATCCTGCGCGGCTGCACCTCGCTCTTCCTCACGGGATGAAGGCTGGGACCTTTCCCGGGTACAGTCTGCGCCGTCGCCCACCGCTCTGACCCGCGGCCCCTTGGCTTCAATTTCCTCACTTATTTTGGGGCGAGAAGCTCTGAATTGGTTTCCTCAGACCTCGGTCCTGAGATGATAGGGTGGAGGCGACGGCGTCCCCAGGGGTTTCAGCTTAAAATTCCAGCCACAGCCGCGTGATTTACACATTTCCCGCACCTCTGGGACATTGCAAATGTTCCTCTTCATAATTCCTCCATTATTTTATTAGCTGTTCCTCTTCACAATTCTCCCTTTATTTTATGAGGGGTTCGGGCCAGCCTTGCCAGCAGGTCTATGCCACCTCTGCCCCCATCCCTTTGTCCCTCCCAAGATGGCAGCACCTTCCCGACACTCTCAGGTGGTATCCTAATTAACCGACCCCACTAATGAGGTGAGAGAATCATGGTCTAGGCCTGGAATTTTGCATCTTATTTGCAGCTTTGCGCGGATCTTCTTGCTCTCAAGAGCTCTTGCTCCCGGGTTTGCATCCCGACATCATCGTCTTTATTTCTCTCAGGGAGATTGGGGCGGGGGGGGGCGGAATTAAAAGGAGTAAAGCCATGCTGGCACAGAGACGGAGCTGATTTATCTTTAATTTAATCTTCTCCTCCTCATTTATTACTGCGCCTGCTTTCTCAGCCTCCCCTGGCAGGGCTGAGATGCCCTTTCTCGCTCCCCGCCGCCCCCCTGCCCAGCAGAGGCTCCTGTGCTGGATCCTCTCCATGCCCTGAGTGGATCCTGACAACTCCGTTTATCCAAGCATTTGCAAGTCCGATTTCTGCCACGTCCCCCAGTTGAAATTCCTTATTGCACTTGTGGAGGAGAGAGGGAACTGGGAGGGATGGGATGGGAATGGGATGGGCATGGGATGGGGATCCCTCACAGGGGTGGGGATGGGGATGAGGATGGGAAAGCTCGCAGTGATGGGGAAATCTGGCAGGGATGGGATGGTGCAAATCTGAGCTGGGTGCCCTCAAATCCCCCAGGACAACCCCACGGATAACTTGGCCCGGGGCAGCGTGAAGATGCTGGAAGGGTTTGTGACACCACAGCGTCCTTCGGGATGTAACATCGCTCACGCTGAGCACAGGGAGGGGACGTGAGCGGACCGGGGTGGCCACTGTGTCATTTTAAAGTCACCCGCTGGCACCGAGCCCTCCGAGGCGCCGGAGGCATCAATCTCCTGGGGCCGGTGCTGTCAGCTGGGTATTTAGTGAAATGTTTCTTAAATGAACGCTTGATGGAAGAAGAGGGATGGCTGCAACGTACCGAGCCGCAAGGTTGTCCCTGCCGCCGCCGTGGCTGCCAGCTTCCAGCGCCCGCTCTTAAACCCGGGGGTGGGGGGGCGGCTGCAATGACCCACCGGGGAGGTTTCGGGAGCCGCTACCCGGCGTGGCTGATGGATTTCAGAATAAATCACATCTGTGATGGGGGAAACGCCAGGCAAAGCTCCAGGCAGCTGGTGCAGGTGGGGAGGGAAGGGAGAATGCAAAAGGCTTTGAGAGCCCCATTTAATTTGGGTTCCCAAGGGGGGAAATAACCCCTCCGTGAGAGGAGGCAAGACTACTGCTTAAGGTTAATTTTTCTTTATGAAAACTGGGAAAAATTGAAATGAGCCCGTTCTTAGCATCCCTCTGAGCGGACGCAGCCCGGAATGCTGAGCGCGGCGGTGACTCCACTTGCTGCTGCCAAGAGACTGAGCAGGGATACGACTCCCAGAGACCTCAGTCAAGGACCTTCTTAAACTCATTAGCAGCATCAAAAGGGATCTCTGAGAAGCGAAACCTGTCCTGGAAGGAGTGCAGTAGCACAAGGTGGGATCTGGCTTTTCAAAAAGGGGCACACAGGAGGGGAGCAAAGGCATTGGCTCTGGCAGAACCGTGCTCAGCCTCCGAGGCACCACACGAGGGTGAAGCCACCCCTGACCCCACCCAGCTGACCTTAAGCCCAAACCCTCAGTGACAGCAGCAGGAAGAGGAATAAATACAACCAAATCCACGTCGCAGCACCTGTGCCTCTGTGACGCAGGTGGGCGCTGGTACTGGGCCGGTCTCCGAGCGGCTTTTCAAGTCAGACTCCAAACCAAAACCCTTGGCTCAGCATTAAGACTGTTTAGAAACTGTTTCCACGCCTCCCTCGCAGCAGCCGTACGGCTTTTCCCTCTCTGTACACAGCACCCCAATAACCCTCCTTGCAATGAGTTTTGCCTCCAGGACCCGGCTGCCCCGGGCCAGGCCCTGCTCCCACCCCGCCGTCGGCACGCAGGCGATGCCGTGACACCCCGGATCAGCCACCTCGGGTAGCGACACGGGCTCCATCTCTCCAGGACGCTGGAATCTGCTGCCACGGGACGCCAGGACCCAGCAGTACCTGATACCGGGAGCTGCCGGTACCCAGCACCACGATGCCCAGGGCGGCAGTAGGCAGCATCCCAGCAGGGCTGTGACGATGCCCAGTGTCCTTGCAGCAGGTGGTACCGTGTCTGGGTGGGAGGAGGTGATGGGAAAGGGATTCCAGCGTTCCTGTTCCGGATCTGGCCCTGGGGCTCCCCAGGCAGCCGTGACAGCAGACGCCTGGGGAGGCTGGGAGGGATGTTGCTGCCTGAGGTGATTAATAAGGGAGGGAAAATTAACAGCGAGGGTGAAGGGGTGGGATCCCAGCCGGCAGGATCCCGGCCGAGGCAGCACCTCCTTCCCCGGGGCCGCGTCCCCATCAGGGCTGGCTGCGTGTTGGTCAGCGGTGCTGGCTCGCTCTCCGCCGTGCCCGCAGAGATTCCGGCCCTCGCAATCTCAGGGCAGCAGCTCCGGAGTTCTCCTGGACAACGGCTGGTCCTGAGCGTGTCGTAGGGTCATACACCAAACCACACAGTCCTGCGACCCGCCGCGTGGTCCCACAGCCTGCTGCACCGTCCTGCGCCAGACCACGGCATCCTGCAGCACGCCGTGCGGTCCTGAGTCCCACCATACGGGTGTGCAGCCCATCACCTGGTCCCACCACCCGGTCCTGCACCCCGCTGCATGGTCCTGCACCAAACCACACCATCCTGCATCCCCCTGCACGGTCCTACGCCCCACACAGGGGCAAGACCAGACACCCCCCCTGCATGATCCTGCACCCCAGCACACGGTCCTGTGCCCCACCACACCGCCTTGCAATCCATCGCATGATCCTGCACCCCAGCACATGGGTTTGTACCCTAACCGTGTGGTCCTGCACCCCATCACACAGTCCTGCACCCCACTGCACGGTCCTGCAGCCCACCAAGTGGTCGCACACCCCATGGCGTGATCTTGCACCCCCTCACAAGGTCCTGCAGCCCACCGGGATCCCACACACCACTTCAGGGGCCCACACCCCATCTCAGCTCGCCCAACATCCCCCCTGCTCAGCTCGAGCAGCCTCCGGCGATTCATCCTCCGCTCGCAGGGAAACCGGAGTGGCCGGAGCAGCTCCACATGCTTTTTATTTTATAGCATCCATATACTATCCCCTCCCCGCTGCTCTGCCTCGGCAGCTGAGCGGGCACCTCTGGTACCAACCGGAGGTTTTGCTCTGGAGCTGTGGACTCCCCATCAGCAATCCTCCCTCTTAGCCCGTTAAGCCCCTAATTAAGCTGACAAGACACAAGTAGAGCTTTTAATTACAGCTTTGCAGCGGCTGCCTCAGGGGAGGTGTCAGGGCAAGGGGGGGATGCACTGAGCTGGCCAGGTCTCTGCAGCCCTGGGTGCCATCCTCCCGGTGAGGCTGCCTCTCCCCTTCCCTCTCCCTCTTAATTTCATTTTCTTCTTCTTTTTCCTCCCCGGAAGACAAAGGGCTGGGAAGAGGAAAAGGTGGAGGGACGGGGCTGGCAGGGACAGGAGGAAATAAGGCCCCCACATCCCCAAGATGTTGTCCCCAAAGAGCAGGACCCCGGCTGGCTGTGACCCCAGGGAGCAGCATTTCGTGTCAGCATCCTGCAACCCCGACCCAAAGCACGTGGGAGCTGAGCACCCACGGGTGCGCCGCGGTCCCCAGGGTGCCTGAGAGCAGGGAGGGGGTGTCCCAGGGGCTGCTCCCCTAATTCCCCCCCCCCTCCAACATCCATGAAGCGGTGAGTCAGAGCCGGGGTGATGCCGACTCCCAGCACCCATCCGGCGTGCCAGGGCGCCCGCTGCACCCCGACACTGCTGGGGTGGAGGGGTGCACCCCCCCGGGCACGCACACCCTGCCTGCTGGTGCCCTTCCCTCGTGCACACCCCACCCCACCCCCCCCAACCCCCGTGCAAAAGCATCCCTCGTGCAAATGCAGATCCCTCGTGCAAACGCCCATCCCTCGTGCAAACACGCTCCCCATAGGAGCCCCCCCCCCCGTGCAGGACACCCCCCCCGCCTCCGCAGCCGGTCCCAGCCCTGCCCGGGGATGTGCCCCTGCCCCCCTCTCCCCCTGCTGACCCCCACCTCCCACCCCTCCTCCCCTACCCCCCCCTCCCTGGGGCACCCAGCGCTGGGGCAGCATCCCGGGGTGCAGGAGGGGCAGTTGGGGGTGCAGAGCAGCCCAGGAATTCGGGGGGGGCTGTGTGGGTGTGTGGGGGAGGCCTCGGGCTGACATAGCGATCGGCAGCCCCCAGAACCAGATGGCTGCCACCCCTGCCTCAGTTTCCCCTTCCATCCCTTTTCCTGGCGGGGTTTGCCACTCGTCACCATTTTGAGTGGGCACCAAACCAGCACCCCCACACCCCCACACCCCCCCCCAAGGCTCCTGGCCCAGGCCCCACGGGCCACCCTGCGTCCCCTCTGCCCTCGTGACAGCGGTGACCCCGACACCCACACGTGCCATCCCACTCACAGCCCCAGCTTCTTGGCAGTTAATTCTTTTTTTTTTTTTAGCGCTGGGCACCGGCTCGTCCCCCAGCCAGCGCCAAAGCCACCCCCGCCATCCAGGTGCACGGGGAACCAAAACGCTCAGCGGCTGCCTTGGGTTAGCGAAAAAAAACCCCAAATTTCCTTCCCAGGGAATGGGTGGCAGATGGAAGGTGTTGGGAGAGGTACTTGGGAAATGCTGTGTGATGAGTTTTTTTCCCCTGGGGCAAAGTCATCTCAAGCCAACCCACACCCGCCCCGCCGCCACCTCGGCTCTGGTGAATTTAATTTTGCTAAAAAGGACAAAAATCAGAATGAAATTTCCTCTGGAAGCAGAGGAACGGCCCAGCCTGTGGTGCGGGGGGGGGGCAGGGAGGGAGCTGGCACGGGGCTGCGAGGGTCCAAAACTGCCGGTGTGCGAGCCCAGGCAGCGCAGGCATCACACCAGCTGCACTGTGGACACCAGTGGCCGTGGGCAGCGCTCCCGCCCCACCTATGGGTAATCAGGTCACCCCCCCCACTTCCCCCACCCGCTGCTGCCCAGCACCCCCAAAATGTCCCCCGCCAGCACCCCTTTGTCAACTCCCCCCCCCCCCCCAATCCCACCTCCATCAGCCCCACTTTGAACAACAAAAAAAGGGGGAAAAAAACCCACCCCCAGCCCCCTCAGCAGAGCTGGGGGATGAGCCCTCGCCAGGAGCTGCTTCATCTCTCGGGGTTTTGTGCATCCATCGCCGAGTGAGTCAAGTCCCGGGGGGGCTGGGAGCAGCCCCATAGGGTCCGGTCTTGCCCGGCCTCGGGGTGTTCAGCACCGACGGTGGTTTGGTAAAGCCCCACCGGGCAGCTCAGCTGGGTCCCCGCGTCACCAAAGGGGTTTTATCCGTCATTAATTAAAAAAATGGAGGTCAATGCAGCGTATCATTTATTTATTCCAGGCAGGCCGAGTCGGGCAGAGCCCCAGGGACGGCAAACACGGGGCTCACCCCCCTGCCCGGGGCACCCCAAACCCTGGGAGGGAGAAGGGCACCCTGCTGCAAGTGGGGATGGGGGAGCCCCGTGGGACTGGGGCCAGTGGGACCCCTGGAGCGATTTGGGGGACTGGGGGGGGGGCATCCCGGCCCCGCAGGGATCCCAGGGCCGCAGCCGTGCTTCCCAGGAAAACCTCCCCCGGCGCCAACTGCGGCAGCGAAGGGCTCTGCGAGGTTTCTTCCCGAGAAAAAAAAAAAACAAAACCAAACAAGTCCCAGCTCCCAGACCTAGTGCTTTGAATTTTTATTCGAACGAAGGAGAAAACCGTTCTTTCTTCCGAGTAGAACAGTCCGGGGGGAAGGGGAAAGCGGCTGTGCCAGGCCGCAGCCCCCCGAATCGCAGCCGCGTGCGGGGTGTCGGTCCGAGGCGGCGCGGTTTTAAATAAAAAGGGGTCAGGACGCGATCTCCTACACGCCGAGCCCCGGGCTGACCCTCCGGCTGACTCCGGTGTGGCTGGAGGTCAATGGGAGGTTGTGGGAGGGAGGAACTGGGGGTCCCGAGGGGATGTGGGGGACACCCAGGGCAGCACCGGCTTCCTTAAAGGGTAAATCGCAGCTGGAAGGGAGGTTTCCCCCCCGAGTGGAGGGCAGGATTTGGGATGGAGACACGAAGGGAAGGTCAGGGTATCCCCGCTCCCCCCGCGGCCGCGGCCGGGGGGTCAGAGCTGGGAGCAAAGGCACCCGCGGAAGGACAGGCAGGAGCAGGCAGCCCCCGCGCTCGTCTGCCAGGGCACAGAGCCCGGGGAGGCTCAGAGGAGCTGGGGGGGGCCCACATGATGTTTGGGGGGTGTTGGAGCTGGGCACCCAACGAAAACCCAGCCATGAGCCCCCGGAGACATCCCCGCCCCGGCCTCAAGCTGCCCAGGTTTGTCAGTTTGCGGGGAGGGGCAAAAAAAAAAAAGACTTGTTTCATTTGGTTGGCACTTAGCTGTTCTCCTCCTCCTTACCCCTTGCAGAGAGGAGGAGGAGGAGGAGGAGGAGCCCTTCCTCCCCACCTCCTGCCTCCTCTCCCGGGAGAAGCAGCAGCCCGAGGTCCCCGCAGCCGCCGGGATCCCGCTCCTGCCTGCCGGCTCCGCGGGGCGCGGGGGGAGCCGGCGCGACGGCCCCTGATTTACAGCACTCTACTAGGACATGCTCTGGGTGCCTAATGGGGCTCCCGGCACCGCCGGCACCGGGCTCGGTGGCCGGCACGCCGCAGCCGGCGGGATGAGGCCACCGGGCTGGACGTTGTCCCGGCCACCGGAGACCCTTCGGCACGTTCCTCTGGTGGCAGGCTGGGGGGGGGGGGGGCAAGGCCACAGCCCCGACCCCAGCGCTGGAGGGAACACCTGGAGGGCCGAGCTAAAAAAACTACGCTAGGAAAATAAGAAAAAGGCTGGGAAAAAAAAAAAAAACCAGGAAAAAAAAAAAAAAAAAAAAAAACGAGGGGCAGGGAGGAGGATGAACGGACACTAAGCTAGAGAACGTCACACAGTCCGTGGGCAGCCGGGCCCCGAGTCTGGCGGTGTGCGGAGGCTCTGGCAGCCCCCGGGGGGGCCGGGGGGCGATGCCCGGCTCCCCGGCCCCGGTCTGGGGCGGGGGGGGGGCTCCGGCTGGCGGGGGTGCTGGCCGGCAGGCAGCGGCGGTGCTGAGCGGCTGGTCGCTTCCTAGAGCTCCTCGAAGAAGGCCACGCGGGACTTGGTGCTCTGGAGGGTGAGCTGCAAGAGAGCAGAGGGGGCGGCTGAAGGGGGACGGGGCTGACCCCCCTCCTTCCCGCAAGGCACCCACCCCCAGCTTCACCCCCCACCCCTCCCCGCCCCGGGGAGGGCACAGGGCTAAGCAGGAGGGAACCGCTGCCTTTATCCCCTCCTGGCCCGGCCCCTGCCCCTCCGAAAACACCGGGGAGGGTGGGCGCAGGGGTGTCGTGCAGGCCCGCAGCAGCCGAACCCCCCCCCCGACGACAAGAAGCACAGCCCGAAGGCGAAGCGCGGGGCGAGGGTCCAGCGTGCTCCTTCCTCTCCTTGCCCGGGCGGTGGGGGAACACGCGGGGCTCTTGCAAAGCTGGGGGAGAAACAACCTCCATCAGCTGAGGCCAGAGGGAGAACCACGCTCGTCTCTAAACCCACGGCTTCCCCCAGTGTAACCTCGGGGCCGTTTGTGCCCCCATGTTCACGTCCAACCCCAACGCACCACCCTCGATGGGACGATCGGACGTGCCCGGTGTGGTCCAAGCAGCCACGACGCAGCTCGCCGCCGCCGTCCCGGCACCAGCGCGGGGCTGCCGCCTTCCCCCCACCCCGGGACCTCAGCCCAGACCTGCTCCCTCTGTCCCGCCGGAGAGCCCTCGCTCGCAGGACCGTGTCCTTGGAGCCAAAGCTCTGCAGGACTTGGAAACCTGGCCCAGAAAAGCTTTGTGCAGCGCTAGCGAGGCTATCTGCAAAATAATAATACCCCACGGAGGGAGCGCGAGCCCGTTTTCTAACGGGCCAAACGAGAGATGAAAGAAACATCCTCAGCGCCGAGGAAGGAATCAGAGTATTTACGGATAACCACCCAAAGGAGCACGGTGGGAGAAGTGCCACCTTCCAACCAGCTGCTGAATCACCGCAAGAGTTTGCCAAACCAGCCGGCTAATTGTGAAGGCTTCGTTTCAGCTGGATTAAGCAGCGGTGCCTTCCGGGGACGCCAGTTTTGCTGAAACAGGAATCCTAGGATCACGTTACAGCGAGTTAAGCCAAGCGCTCCCCCCTCCCCGCTTCCCCCCACGGCCTTTCCTCAGTAATTCCTTCGCAGCTGTAATGCCGTTCTGAAAAAATCTGTATTGCAGAGGAAATTTCTGCAGGGGCTTAATACCCTTTGCTGGCAGCATTTCCTGGGCCAGGGCTGGCTCTCCTCCTCCTCAGCATCCCCCTGCTCCTCCAGCATCCCCCCCCCCCCCCCCCAAGCTGGATGGGGGGTGGATGAGATGGGTCAGGGGCTCCGTGTGCTACGGGCAGCTCTTTGCCTCTCTTTCAAGGCTGGAGAGGGAAAAAAAAGAGTGGGCAGCCCCAGCCGGCTGCCAACACCACCGATGGCCCCAGCGTAGGCTTCGTTTTGGCTCCTCCAGCAGAAATCCTGCCTGGGATCCCAAGCAGACACCTGGCTGGGTCACAGGCCAGAGAATTTGGCGCTTAAAACCTCGAGCAGACCCGGCGGCGTGGAGCACGGTCCTTCCCTCTGAGCGGGGGCTGCCGCAGCGACCGGGCGCAGGGACGGGGACCGCGGCCCCCCGCAGAGCGGGGCGCTGGGGTGTCCTGGGGCTGGAGAGGGCTGGGTGGGGTCCCACGCCTCTGCCGGGGTTCACGCTGGAGCCCGCCCGTGCCCCCCCCCCCCCAAGCCCAAAATAGGGGAGCTTCACTTTCCCGCTTCACCTGGGGAGACCTCCGAGAGGCCAGACACCCCCGAGGAGGAACATTTACGCGCCCGCTTTCTCCTTCCTAACGCCCTGCCGCTGAAGTCAGCTTTTCTGCAGGCTGGAGGGTGAATCAGAGCATCCCAGCACCTCCCCGCCCCATTAAAGCACGGCAAGGGGAGATGCCCCCCCGGCCCCTCCCCAGCAAACTCAGTGCTCCGGAAAGAAAGGAGCCGGCTACAACCGCTGATGAGGCGGAGAGGGAAGAGGTTTCCCCCAGGTTTATAAGGGAGGTTTGGCTATTTTGAGCCTGCCTTTAGCTCCACGCAGCTCTCCATTAATCCCCACCCCCCGCTTTTGCAATCCTGGGGTACCTCAAAGTGCCTCTCGGGCAGCAGCCTCCGTGCCCAAAGCTGGGCCCTCCTGAGCAAATGCCGCTGCAGCGCGGGGGGGAGCACGCGGAGGCAGAGCTGCGAGAGCATCCAGCACCAGCGCGAGATGCAGCCCGGTCTTTCACCAGGGGCTTTCATTTGTCACCTCCAAAGGCTCCCCGAGATGCTTGTTGGTGCTTTTTTTTTTTTTTTTTTACCTACCCAGGGAAACTGAGGCACAGGAAGAACAATCCCAGCTGTGGACACAGAGGGAGAGGGAGCAAAGCCAGGTCTCGATGCGACGGGGTCCGGCAGAGAGGTGCGAGCGCTGACTCCCCACGGGCCATGCCCTGTGGCTCGGTGGCAGGAGCCAGAATTTGCCATCCCGAAGCCCAGGGGGATTTCAGTGGTGAGAGAGCAAGCACCCACGCCGCCCCCCTTGCTCCCACTGCGCAGAGGCACCCCCCCCCCTCATCTCTCATCACCCCCTTGTTATGTTCTGGCTGTTTCTGAGACAGCCAGGAAGCTCATGCAGTGCTAGCATCTGGGCAGGAGGATTTCTTCCCATTCAGGCTCCTCCAAGGGGGAACCCCCAGCTGCCTTTCCCCCCAGTAACCTGGAGGGTGTTAGAACAGCATCACCCGAGGGGGATGCAGGCACAGCTCCTCCTTAGCAGGAGCTGGGTTATCGCAAAGAGCTCGGCGGCAGCTTGGGCAGAGGAAGGGGTCAGCAGCTTCGGGCTGCTCTGCCCCCACCGTCCCTGGAGCGAAGGCACCTCCGGCAGCCGCCGGTGGGACCACCCGCACCGGGAACCGGGGCCGCCCGGCCGCGCTCAGGCAGCTGCCTTCTCACATCCGATGAGTCAGGCACATGAATAATCAAGAGAGGAAATCAGGATTGCTCTTGACTGCACACTGACCCTCCACCACCAATGCTCCACTGTGACTGGAGGAAAAACTCCCCCCCCCCACATCCCCGCTTCCTTTTTTCTTTCTTTTATTCTCGTTTCTCTTGCTGTTGAGCAATTGCAGGCAGGGCGATCCCCGCTGATGGGAGAGCTCTGCCACCGGCCGGTGTTGTGGCCTCGACAGCAAGTGTGGCGCGGCTGCAGCAGGACAAAACCCGAGGGACCCGCTGGAGGAAGAGGGGCAGAGCGGAGGGAAAGCTCCTTGGGGCAGCCTGACTCATCCCACCCAGCGCTGCGGGGGCACGGGAGGCGCCGCGGCAGCCGGCGGGGAGCCCCACGGCACGAGCCCCAGACAGCTCTTTGCGGGGAAATCCCACTCCCTCACGCAGGGAGCGACCGATTTTGCTCTTTTCTGCACCGGGAAGTAAAAGCGAGGAGGAGAGCAGCTGGGGAGGAGAGTGCAGCCCTGCTATGGCCTCTCTGCCTTCTGCTGCGGGAAAGCCCTAAGGTGGCCCCCGGCACCCCCGCAAACTCTCTGCACCCTCTGCCTCCCCTTGGCCCAGCCAGGCAAAAAGAAATAAATACATATACCAGTAGTGTAACGTTGTGCAGGCAAGGCAGAGTGATTAAGAGCAAGTTACATTCTCGCCAGTGCGGACAGGGGAAAAAAAAAAAATATTGATTTACAAGTAGTATTATGATAATCTCTTTTCTGCAGGAGGGAGGGTGGGCTCCACAATGCACTACCAGAACCATCAAAGAAAATTTAGAGAGAGAGAGAAGGAGCGCAATTAAGCTGCCAGAGCTCAAATGAATCAAGATATGAGAAAAGGAAGAGTCCCACTCCCTGCATTCCTACGCTGGGGTTCCTCCGAGCTCTGCTTTTACCCAGGGCTGCTGGACTGATTTGATTTAAGAAAAACAAACAAACAAAAGCAACCCAATAAGTCCTTCATAGCCAAATACGGTTTAGAGCAGCTAATCCAATAACTGCAGGCACATAACTTCTGCGGGCTGGGCAAACCAAATAGAGAGAAACCGCCCGGGCTCCCAGCGAGCCCACGGGAGCCCGTGCCCCCCCCCCCGCCACTGGAGATTGGGGCATGGGGAGGGGAAGGGGGGTGCAAATCACATCAACCCTCCCCCATCCTCCCCGGGGACCGAGGAACGGGGGGAAGATTTAAAATTTCTCATTTCCTTGCTGTTTCCTTCTTTCCCCTGCAGGCTGGGCGGGCTGGAAGAGAGGGGGGCTCGTGCCACCCCCAGCAGCATCACCTCACGCCGTGCGATGCTGGGGATGTCTTCCTGCTGCTGGGAGGGAGATCTACGGTCCCCGCTAGATCATCACCCGGTGCTGCATACAGTCAATCCTCTTTATTCCACCCCCCGCTCCCCTGAACGTCTTTCTCCATCCCTGCCCACTCCCCCGTCCCCACCAGCCAGGTGGATCTTTCAATTCCCACATTTACTTTTGAAACCAAAACCTTCCTATTTTTCCTTCCCCCTGCTTTCCAGTCCCCACCTCGCCGTTTCTCTCTTACTCCCACGCTGCCATTTATTCTCTCCCAAGCACAACTTTCCCCCAGCCTCCAACGCTTTGATGAGCGCGTTTAAAAGAGAGAAGATGATGCTCCATTTGAAGGAAACGCTTTTCAAAGACTGCCACAAAAATAGCTGATAGGGCTGACGTTTCCTAGTTTCCTTTCACTCCTTGTAAACAAGGAAAGGAGGCTGCTGTGTCCTAGTTTAGCTGCCAGGGAGTTTCACTTCCCGGCTCCGAGGAGAAGGAGGGCAGGAAGAAAATGAACCTAGCAGGGACGCAGCCTCGTTATGTGTGGGCAAGACCCGTGTGGGATGGTGCCTCCATTTCTGCACTCAGAAAACCTGTGCCCAGAGGTGTCCAGAGCTGCTCCTCTCACCGGCTATCTCCTGGCTCTCGTCTGCGTCCCAGCCAGGTGCCAGGCAGCGCAAAAAGCCAGCATCCTTGCTCATCTCTTCTCTCTGCCCTCACAGCTCCCGAGGGGATGGGAAATGCCGGCGCTGCTTCTCCCGGGAAGTCCCTCGCTGGGCGCGTGCCCGCTCTGCAGCACGCAGCCTTCCCCTCTCCTGGCGGGAGCGGATTACACAGCGGTGCCACGGCAATGCTGCAGTTCTGCCCGAGACTAAAGAGCACCTCATCTGTGTCCGGGCTGTCACAGGGCCTGCAGGAAAGGATGCACCCACCCGTGTGCAGCTCAGCCTGCTCCGTGCCACCCAGGCTCCCTCCTTTCACCCTTCCCAGAGCAGAAGTATTTCTTGTGCTGGTCCCCTCCCCTCTGCAGGATGAAGATCCAGAGGTGCAAGAACGTTTTCCTTCCCTGAAATGGCCGTGATCCTCCATCTCCCCAGCAAACCACCGGAGCAAAGCCAACCCATTCAGGCAGGGGCATCTGCAGGTCCCAGAAGGGGAGAGGTGAGGGAGCCCTCAGGAGATGACAAAGAGACCCCACAAGATTTGTCGAAGGCCTCAAGGGCTGTGTTTCAGCGATCCCTAGCAAGGTGCTAGCCTGGTACAGCTGGAAAACGGGCAGAGGGAAGCCATCTGCCCCAGCGCCAGCCTCCCAAAAACGTTCAGCCTGTCCAGATGATTAAGTAGCCTCATGACATTTGGTGGTGGCACAGCAGCTTTGTATCTGCATCACGAGAGACTCAGATGGCAGTGCCCATCACTAATTCACCAGTGTCCTTGCACGGCGGCAGAGGACAGACCAGAGCATATCTTGAAGGTGAGAGGAGTGAAGAGAAGCCTGCAGAAGTCCACTCTGCTCTGCCTCGCCCGCCCCTCCGTGCTTGGCAGCCAGGAGCTGCTCATCGCCTAAATCTGAAGGGGATGACGCTGCCTTTGTAGGAACATGGTAGAAGATGACTGTTCGTGACCCGGCGATGGAAGAAGCCCAGACTAGTCTACCGGTGATAAATAAGCAGATTTGAAGTAGCTTATTCAAGCTCCAAGTGTCTCGACGATAGGAAAAAAAAAAACTTGTGTGACCCAAGTTGAGCACAACGCTGCACTGCAACCAGGATCAGCCAGGAGAGGAGCCAGCAAGAGCGTAGTCAGCAGCACCACCACCGGCTGCACAATCCCCACGGGCACCAAACATGCTGGCCCCAAGGAGCGAGCTCGAGCCTCAGAGAGACACTGCGTCCCATACAAAGCCGAGAACTGCCCCAGAGCCTGGCAGGGAAAGGCCAAGCCTGTCTGTTGAAGGACCAGGGCACTGCTCAAGGACAAAGCCGCTTGTCTGGGAAGGGGAGTGGAGATTTGCTCCTCGCCTAGATACTTCAAAGGGCTTAAGTCACAGCAAATAAGCATGACTGTGCAAGAAGAAAGCAACTGGAATGAAAGACCTGATTGTGTCTTAGAGCGGCAGCCTGTCCTGGGAGCTTTCCTACACTGGAGGATGCGAGGAAGAAGTGGGTTTTTTCATCTTCTACTACAGCCTAAGCAGCAAACCCTCCCGAAGCCGAGCGGGCTGGAGTCAGCAGCACCAGCCCACGGTGGAGAGCACTACGGAGAAGGGAAATCAGCTTCCAGACGAGGTACTTGTGCTGTGCCCACAGCGCTCATAAAAAGGGATTAGCATGTTAACCACGTAATTAAACATGAAAAACTTCGCAGGCGTCTTCAAAAGCAGGCAACAAAACCCAGAGGTCACACCACAGCACTTGCTGTGCATCTGGTTTAATTATGGGGGCTCCTCCCAGGCACCGAATCTCTCCCAGCTGCTGGATTAGTCTTTTCACAAACTGTCAGGACTTCATTCCGCTGCCTGGCGCTGCAGCCACAAGTGGATTTCGCCCCAATTTCACCTGCCACAGAGTTCCTCGAGCCAGTCGGGACGGGACAGAGGGTTTCAGCCACGGCCAGCCTGCCTCAGAGACACATCCAACGCCTCCCCTGAGGTGGCCCAGACCTGCAGAGTCACTCCTCGTTTTAGCCTTTTCCCCAAGGAACTGCTTAACAATGAGAGCAGCCTGTCTCAGGAACACCCACAGCCGCCCGAAGAGCGGCTGGCAGCAGCCAGCCAGCACAACACCCCAACCTGAGTGATTTACAGCGCTGCCTGCGGCCCTGAAAGGGCTGGTCCATTCAAGAATGGCACAAACCTGTGCTGATCGCTTCTGGGAACCGGCCAGAGAGAAATCTGCACCTAAAGCATGCTCCTGCCTCCCCTAGAGAGCTCCAGAGGTGCTGGGGAATTGCTCCACAGGCAGCTGGAAGTGCCCGACATGCAGGCAGGGCTGCGCAAGCCCCCGGAGTAACTTAACAAAAGCCTTTTCCAAAGGCACTCACCACCAGGTTTGCCACCCACTTTGGTGAGCACTGCTGCTGCAGCATCCACGCTGTTCCTTCCCTTAGCGCTACCACTCAAAACTCGCTAAACCCCGTGGGTGTGCAAGAACCACGGTCAAGGAAAGACCAAAAAAAGCTTCCCCCCCAAACGCATCCTCCCGAAGAAAGGAGTCGATGCTCTGCACACACACAACCTACAGATTGAGGGCAAACCCTCAGAGGGAAGCAGGCTCCAGAAAGAAGAGACACGGTGTTAAGAGAGCAGGAGTCACCGGCGTGCTGAAGGAGGCAGGGGACAGGCAGAGGCGTCGCAGGCAGGGAGGAGAGCGGCTCTGACAGCCGGCGTCCCCAGGCGCGACGGCGACCAGCAACAGCCCTACCTCCAGCACAGCCTCCCCGCTCCGACCCCCCCGCTGCAGCCTTGCCCGGGAGCTGCCTGCAGACGCCGGCTGTCCTCAACCGTCTGCTTCACGTTCCCGTGATACTTCTCAAACAGGCAGACGCTGATAACGCGTCCACGTGCTGCTCCGCTCCAAGACGGAGGCGTGCATTTCTAGCCTGTTAGACAGTTTTGGCAACAAAGAGTTGATGGGGTTTGTTTGGTGGTTGTTTTTTTGTTTAAATCCTGAACGTCTTTCTACAGCACACAAGGGGGAAAAGTCCTGATTTACTTCATTAAAGAAATCTTCAAAGGCCACCCTGTTCCTCCAATAGATTCCCAGCCACCGGCAGCAGAGCAAAACCTGGCACGTTTAATTATTTAAGCACCTACGCCTGCACTGCCCCGCACTGACGTTGCCAACTCCACTTCTGCCGGGAAGGACGGTGCCCAGCACGCAGGGTCAGGCGCGAGAACGAGCGCGGGGAGGCTGTGAACGCTACCGAGGGAGCGGGAGCCGGGGCAGGGCACGCGCTCACGGCGGGGCCGGGCAGGGTGCGAGCCCCCTCTCCCCGGCACCGTGCCCCGCTGCGGCGCACGAGGCGGGGGGCTGGAGGGGCGGCAGCAACGGGAGCTGGCTAGAGCGGTGCTTATCGCAGGCAAGCTCATGCAGGGGTTAGTATGACAGCCAGCGATCCCATCACCCCACGCAGAGTACCTTGGAATAACCTACTTTGAAGTCTCAAATGCAGATAGGTCTTCTGCCCTGGGCTTGAGGCTAAACCAGCAAAATAAAACGAACAACAGAAAAATAATCCTCTGTGGTATGAGCAATGTCATTTGTTCAATCTGTACAGTTTGCCCGGAGCGCTGAAGTGATCAGCGGCTTCCAGGTGGGGCAGAGGGTTGGTATTATTGAAGTACTGCTGAACTGCTATCCCCTTTTCCATTTCCAGTGTCTTGCGTTTTCCTTTCCATCACAGCTGCAAAGACAAAAGCCCTCCTGACCTCCTGGTGACACGAACAAAAGCAGCCTGTAATTTTATTCCAATGTTCTCCACTAACAAGACTATTATTTAAAAACCTTTGCTCCTCTGGCCAAGATGCAGGCGCTGGGCAGCCTTGGTTCCCTGCTAAAGGGAGGGGACAGGACAAGACTTCAGCTTCAAAGTAACGAAGACTCACCACACAGTCCCAGTTACAGCGATGAGCCCTGACAGACATCAAAATGATTGCCCAGCCACCTTCTTTAAGCGAGACAAATGGGACCATCAGCTCTCTATGAACTTGTCTGTCAGAAGCGAAAATTTAGCATTTTCTGTTTAAACTGAGGGTTCTGAGCATGGAGGAAAAACCTAACTAAACCTACTGGGAGCAGAAACATCTTCAGATTCTATGATGACAAAAGGGCCTCTGAAGATTTTTATATTCTCTGCTCTGGTGGGACAGGAACCCGAATAGCTTGGGGCTAGCTTGGGGAAAACCGGGAAGTGAGACACGCTAGATTAATTTTCCTGCCCCGATTCAGTGATCATAAACTCCCAGCCATGACAGTTGGTGTGAACTGATATTTTCAAAAACCTTTCAGACGCAACCCTCAGCTGGGAGTAGTACAGAGAAGGATTTGTTTTTAAAACCTGGAGTTGTTACCACGGCCTGCATCCCGTGCCATACAGATCGGAATCCTTTGCAAGGACAGCTGCTAGCAGAAAGCCAGCTGGTTTTATCCTTTGCGGGATAAAAGCCTTTGCAGTTGAGTGGGGCTGACCACTACATCCCACCATAACAACTATGGATGTGCTCCCAGGCCTTCGTTACACTGAGCCCAGCTGGAAGAAGGGCAGGGCTTTTAAGTAAAAGGAAGAGGACGGGATGTGAAAATAAAGAATGGGCTTTGCTGTGACCTTCCGGGTGTGACCCCCGGGCTAGTTTGGCTCGGGTACTCGTCTCAACCACATTTCTAGAGGCAGGTGGTTCCAGGGTCCACAGCACAGGGAGCAGACATCTCACACACACCCTGCTAGCGAAAGATTTTGCTGTTAGTAGTTGAAGCTGCACTACAGGTTACTCGAGAACAGATTAAAAGAGAGGACGAGGCTCTTGGCTTTTTCCACTGAAAGCCCCTAAGTCAGGAGTATTTTTTTCCCCTTATTTTTCACCAGACAAGCTAAATGCTGCTTCCTTGCAACGTCTGTAGGGAACGGTTGCAACAGGCAGGTAGGGCTTTTCCTGTTCCTGGGGTCACTGGGGTAGCAGATCCCATCTAACAGCATCCCTGTACAGCTTTTGTTAAGGTTCAGCGAGACCATCAAACCTCGAGACCTTTGCATCCCTTCCCACAGCGCTGAAGAGACAAGGTTTGGTTGTGGCAGGTATAAGCCAGGACCACCAGAAGCTGAAATTCTCTGCAACCTGATCCAAAGCTAAGCAGCCGGGGAAGAAAGCCTAGATCAAACAATTTTATTATAACAACTTGTGCAAAAGCTAAACCAAAAGGGAGGGTTATTTTGTTGTTGTTTGTAAAGGGTTTCATCAGGCGAGATACAAACTGGAGCCCTCCGATACCTTTTTAATAGTGTTGTGCTTGCTGTTGCCTCGGCTGGCATTCTCGTTGTGCAATATATCCAGAGCTGTCTCTCTCTCCTTTAGCTTCAGTGCCTCAATTTCTGTCTTCAGCTCATTCAGCTGCTCCTGCAGGTGCTTGCTTTTCTCCATGTACTCTACCCTAGCACACACAAAAAAGTCCTGGGTTAGCACTGGCCAGCTGCACGTGGTGACATGATACCATGGCAGTCGATAACAGAATTATAACAGAAAAAAACCTTATCTTCATAATTTCTAGTGTGTGGAACTGACGATATTAGTTTACAGCACACAGTAAACTATTCCAAGCAATGATTTGTTCATTATTAAAAAGAGGACCCAGACAGCTGACCCAAGAACAAAACTGTGTTACAGTACTAGAAAAAAAATTAAGCCAAGCTGGAGCTGCTGGATGGTATTTGTAAGTCTCCCCTTTTCCGAGTGAAACTGCACCATGACATTGCAGAGTTTCTGTCTACCAAACAGCAGTTTAAACCACGCTGCTCTACTCCACTGCACCCTCTCTCAAACCCAGCTCACAGACTCAAAGGCACAAATCCTTCCAGTAAGGAAGGACCCTGATGTACTGACTTCTCATGCTTTAAGAGGGATTTAGCTTGTAAACTGTGTGGGAGTGAGCACTGTCCCCAAAATATCAGGTATCTTTTAGACACGCAGCATCCCTGGGAGAGAGAAAGGTCTTGCAAAAGAAGAACAAAAAAATCCCACCATCAAACCCAGCCATCCTCAGGACTCGGCCCTAACCGCCTTCCGCGATGAAGCATCAACTGGAGAACAATCACACCGTGCCAGCCTGGTACCTGTGATTAAACACTGGGATCCAAGTCAAAGTACCAGCAGACTAACAAGAACCCTTTCAGAGCACTAAAATTTGTAGCAAGCTTTATCTCAGCACCCGAAGAAGGAGAACAGTCCCAGAGAAGTCAGCAAAAGCATGCTATTGCTTTCAGCATTTGGCAGAGCCAAGCTCTTCCTGCTTAGGAGAGTGGGATGACCTAGTTAGCAACCCGGGGACAGAACCAGGAATTATCCTGTTATTTTCAGCTTCTATCTTCTTCATTCTGGCTTTAGGAAAAGTTTTTAACCTCTGTCTCTAGCATAGCGGTCTGTTATTTCACGGGAGAGGGTACTGAGCAGAGGCAAAATAAACCACCCTCTGGGATCCAGGGCCGTTTCATTCCAGCCCCAGGAAGTTTTGGCCGGAGCACTATGGCAGAGCCCTTCTAGCTTTGATCTTCTACCCAATCAATGAACAAAGCACATTATTACTACAGAGATTAAAATCTGATCTGCTTTGATTTCTGCTAAATTTGTAATTTTGAAGGCTACACTTACACCCTCAGGAAAACACAAGATCAAAGCTCATCATCACATCCAAACTTGCTTGCGCACATTTTTATATATAAACATGACACAGATTCCAAGAAAAAGGGGTTAAAGCCCTAACACGGGACCTTAGCACACACTCCAGCTACCTTTACATTCTCTGGGCACACTGCAAACGCACAAGCACCAGCCTGCAACAGAGCTCAGTGCACCGGCAGTCAGACTGCTGTTAACTCTTTCTACCAACACGGGCAAATCAAACCTAAACAAGAGCTGGGAATTGCCTGGTGCAGGGCTCAGCGTGCTTAAACTCGCCTCTAAGTGGGCCGTGGAGACGCGTCTGTGACACCAGGTCCCCCCTCCAGAGAAATGGTCAACCGGTAGCTACATCACGCTCTGGACAGAGCTACTTACGACCTGGCAAATGTGAATCCAAAAGACTTCTCCCCCTTTCACCTCATGCAGGTCTGGAACATAAAAGTCACGTTCCCTCCCACTGCAACCGAGACACAAATCCCAGCCCTGGCCTGGCAGCATGTCACATACTTCTCTTTCTCGATTTCCATTGAAAGCCTCTTCATGTCGGTATCCTTGAAGTCAAAGGACAGGCTCTCGTTGATGAGGTTGAAGCTTGGCAGGTCGCTAGGCAGTGCTGTCGTACTTGAGTTCATGGACTGCTAAAGAGAGAGTACAAATTAATCACTTTTGGCCACACCAGCGTTCCTACAGCAAATGTTCTGTAACACAGAGGTACAATCAGAGCGACACCTAAGCTGTGGATACAAGGTGCTACTTACTAACGCTGTAAATAAGCTCCTGATCTGCTACTCACACAGGTAACCACACACTCTGCTTGCAGGTGGGTGCATTCTGCCTTGCAGCAGCACTGAACTGGAAGGATCTCACCATCTGCATGGGGAAAGGGAAGGGGCGTGTGTACTCCTGATGCAACACGGCCCACCACCCCATTTGTCTAAACCAGCCACAAACGTTCTGGAGAGCAGATTATGATGCTCTTTTTCAGCTGGTGATCTTTTAACACAGAAGATGGCAAGCGCTCCAAGGCACTGCAGGAGCAGAGAGGCTAACAAGCCCAGCGTCCCAAGCACCCAAGATGAGTCTGAAGATCCCCTTGCTCCGTTCCCAATTTGCTCTTCAATTCAGAGCTATTGCTCCTCTGGGACCCTGCTCTTCGCTGTAGTAAAGAGGAGGCAGAACACCACCTGCCTTCAAAATCTGTTGACAAAACTTGGTAAAATCCAGGGTTTTATCACTGCTGTGCCACTTCAAAAGACGTCAGACAGAAGCTGCCTCTTGGGAGACATATGACAGCTATTTAACATTAAATCAAACTTTAAAAGTGCAAGCTGTGAACAGGGGCAATGCAAGACCCTGTATGACAGCACAGTCCTGCACTCCACTGCTTCCCAATGCGTGGGCAAAGAACAACGTAACCCCAAGGGTTAACTTGGGATGCAATTTCAGTAAGGTCCATGGAGGTGCACCGATACATTTTTAATCTTTGCAGTAATTTACAATTCCAAGTGTTTAGAACCACTGCTAGATTCAGTTGGAAATGCAGAGGTAACGTAGGGAATCACTGCTATCGCACCCGAGCAAGCATTCGGGACTTTCTTCCTCCTGCAAAACGCTGTGATATCCCCCCACTGACACACACTGCCAGGCCTTCAGATTTTATCTTCCCCTAAAAAAAATGACCCTTCTCTCAGTCAAAAATTCCGTCACACCTCTAATAAATGGGCTCATTACCAGTAGAGGAGAAGCATCCTGACTCAAGTCATCACTCTGCTCTTGCAATACGATAGATGAGGTCGCAAGCAGCGGCACACATCAAACATGGCACAGCGGCCTCAGACGGCAGGCTGCGCGTGGATCTGAGTCAGTGCTGCCAGCGTGCTTAGCCCTCATTTTGGATATGAGAAATCCAGCCTGGCATCCAAAAGGTCACCCACCTCTCTGCTAGATGCTCTGTCTTGCTTTAAGGGATTCCTGTAATGAAAACAACATGCCGAAACCAGCCTGGACCAGAGGGATGGCGGGAGACGGTGCTGCAGAGACAGCCTGCTCTGGCAGCACACACCGAAAGCTGGTGGGATGGTTCTAGGGGACCTGCTCCAACAAACGAGATCTTGAGCTTCAGCTGGTTATTTCTTTCCCTCATTTCTCCTATTTGGGATACTCCAGGGATTGTGTGCAGCTAGCTCTGCTTCAACGAGAACCACTAGCTCCGGGGTGGTGACTGATTTACTCTGCACAATAACCTGCCTCCTCCCTCACCGCCAGCCTGGAATTCACAAACAGCCAGGGCTCTTCCCCCGCTTGCTCTTCAGCTGGACAATCCTGAGAGGGCCAACATTTCATTTACCCTGCAGAGGCAAAGCTGGAATGCCGACACCTATTACAAGCATAAACAAGCTGGCACCTGAAACTGCACTGCTTGGCCTGGCTGGAGCATTACAGGCAAGTTACTCACACAACAAGGAAACACAATTTCTTACTCCCCTTTGCGATTGCTGCTAGTGCAGAACACAGCTGCATTAATTCCGGAGCAGGCACTGAAAGGGACAGCTGAGTACCTAAATTCCAGTCTCGGAGGAAAGGGAACAGGTCTGCCAAAGCACTTAACTGATTTAAATACTTGCATCACATTGACATTCAAGTCCCTTCCCTGTAAGGCACACAGGTGTTTGCAAAGCTCTTCCCACGTGAGGGTCTATGATCTCTGATGTGCAGGGGAGCCATGATCATCAGAACCAGCCTGCTGGCCTTCAAACAACCTTTAGCATTTTTGTCAGCACAAGCTTGTTGGTTTTTGTTTTAAAAAAAAGTACAAACAGCAGTAACAGTTGACCGGGAATTTCACTTGCTGCAACCATTAAGCCCAGATGCCAATTTGTCAGGGTTACTACAGCCACTTCCCCGCCGGTCCTCAGCACCGCTCTTTCATGCGGCAACGAAAAAATTTGTGGAGAAGTCAGAGGAGCAGCATCAGTGAGGAAGAGTAAGGAAAGAACAAAGAAAGAGCACGCTGAGGGCTTTCAAAGGCACAGGCTTAATATCTGGAGCAAAGCATTTCCCTGTCATTTGCAATAATCTTGGGGAAGTCTTGCACAAGGTGCAGGGATTTTTAATCCAAGAGACATGGGGTGTCACTGGGATACAGGGTGATGAAGGGGACACAGACCTTTTCCCTTATGTGTTTCCTCACCTGGAACAAACTGCATAACCCTGTTACTGCATTAAAGCAATTTTCTGCAGTTATTGGTGGCAAGCACCACACTGACAGTGGTTATCCCTCTGGAGTATTGAGCAAGCACGGAGCAAGTCATGTCATGAGGCTTCCCCCCGGCAGGGAGAGCTCCTCCTGTTGCTGCCACTGCCTTTACTTTGCTGCTCAAGAATTTGGGCAAGCCCAAGACAGTCACTTACTACTTCAAGAGGATCAGAGAATAGATGACTGCTTTTAGTTTTGCCACGAGTGGTACCTGAAGGGCAGTGTAGGAGGCAAAGAACCATTGCCAAGTCAGTAAAGAATGAATTGTTCTCCCAGCCCTGATGGCCTGAGACTCAGATTCACGTCTTTTCTCATGCATCACCTACCAGTCCCATCAAAAAAGCAGCTTGGGCTTCAAGGACTAAAAAGACACCGAAACTAGCTTTAAAGAACCACGACAGGAGACTGGAAAGTTACAAAAAAAAAAAAAAAAAAAATTAACTGTTTCTTGCCTTTTCTGCAACCCTTTTCTGCAACACATCCATCCACTTCCCCCTTCCTCTCCTGCCTTTGTTCCCCCAGAGGGAAGTCTTGTTTAGCTCTCAGTGCCAGGGGACAACTCGGCACAAGTACAGGCACTACAGAAAAGAACAAGCTCAGTGTTACACCCTCATTAGGGAAGTGAGGAGCTGGAATCTTGCACCGTTCATCAGAGCTGCCATTTACCTGAGGGACACCAGCCTCCCAACAGCAGCTTTCAAAACTGCTTCATCCCTCAGGCCACCCTGAGCTTATTCCCTCCCTCGGGCTGCGTTTGCCCGCCGGGTCCCTCCACGCTGGCAGGGAGGAAGGCTCGCCCGAATCCAGCTCTCTGAAGTGGTGCACAGGAAGAAGATCTCAGCACGTCTCCCCTTTTCTGCCCCCCAAACCCCGCACACGGCGGAGCGATGAGCGAGAGGCCGCAGGGGAAGGGAGAAGCGAGGCAGGCGCGACAGGGGATGGAAGGTGTTGTCACCTGGCCGCGGGCACAACGGTCACGTTTGCGTCCGCCTGAGCTTGGAAAACAACAGCCATTGGGTCTGTGTGACACAGCACTCCTCCCAGGGTTACGAGAGGGCCAGGAGGACTGGCGGCTGCACGAGGGGACCCTGCCACCTAACTGGAGCATGTCCCCTTCCCTCCTGGCACCAGCAGCCGTGTCAGGAAGTGCCGAGGCTCTTTAGGGAAGGGAAAGGACACAGCACTGTGTGTCTGGCGTGGATTGCCTCCAGGCAGGTGCAGCTGGAGGGACGGAGCCGAGCTCCACGCAACAACATCCCCACTACTGGGAACACAGCCCCGCGGCTGCTCACCAGCGCAGGCACGGGGATTTGGGCAGAAGGGCTCGCTAGCTGGGGGTCTGCCCGATTGACTAAGGATGGACACAGCAACCCCAGGGAACGTGGACGTGTAAGAGCTGCCCAGATGTCCACAGTGGGCTGATGTAGCCATGCAGCAGAGCTTCGATGAGGGCGCTCCATCCCGTGCACAAGTTAAACCCAGAGTTAAAGAACTGGTGGATCCCCGAATCCTAGTGCCTTATAAAATAAGGAGCACTCCAAAGCTAAGCTTTATCGAGCACTGAGGTAGCTAGCACTTGGCTGAGTGTCCCATAGCTGAGAGCACCTGACTGTTTTCCATCACTGCCATTTTCAAAAGCTTCTGCACATTTTTGCAGGGAACTTCAGAGAATCATGATGGAAAGTTACTTCATCTCAAGTCATCTTCAATCTGCTCCTCCAAAGTTTCCAGAGGAGGGTGGGAAGGAGCCTGCAGGTACAAACTGAAGCTTCAGTACTAGATAGGTCGATAACTCCCATATGCACCTGTTGAGTTTATTGCTGAAGCTGTTGAGCTCTTCCCCCTTTACCCCTCAGGACACCGAGGCAGCCGAAGTGGCAGCCCTGGCAGGTGTGAGCTGCGGGGAGGGGAGCACTTGATGGGTTTTGCAGGCCCTGCAGCACAATTAGAGAAGTTGAGGAAAGGAACTGCCAGACGGAGCAGAGCAATGGTCATTTAGTCTGGCGTTTCAGTCCCCGGCAGCAACCGGGACCAGATGCTTCAGAGGAAGGTGTGAAATCCTCTTAATGGGCAATTATGGAATAAACTCCCTTCAAGGAAGTTTTTTTCTAGCACATACAGGCACAGTGTCCAGTTTATGCCCAAAGAATGAATTTACAGGTTCTGAACAATGTTTATCCTACCTAAGAAGAACAAGGACATCCTCCATTTCATAAGTATTTAACCCTATTTTAAAGGCTGCCGCTGAGATGGTACACTCCACACGTGCTAGCAAAGCATGGCTCTGACGTGTTAAACTGGCTTAAAATTTGCTGCCTCTAATTTCACCAGCAGCTCACTTGCTCTTGTAGCATGAGGCAGCGTAGGTGGGGGAAAAGAAAAAAGAGCAAAGCGATCTTCTGCTGGATGGGGTGCCTGGATGAAAAGGGCAAGCACTGGTAAGGGTTTCTCAACTGCTAAGCAATGCAATGCGGCAGCTCGCACCCCTCCACCGATGGGATGGAGATACGAGACTCCTCCAGGCTACAGGCGAGGGCACATTTACAGGCTGGGAACTGGGGACTACAATATCGATCGTTCTTACTGTGTAGGACGACTTGCTGGTGATTTCCAAAAGCTTCTGCTTTGCCCTCCGCTCAGACTCGCGAGCCTCCTGAAGGTCTTGCTTTAGCTGATCAGCCTCCTTCGCCCTACAAAGAAAAACAGCAAACGGCAAATATCAGATTGAAGTTGAGAGGAATGAGAAGATGGAGAATTACAGTGTAGGTGCGGAGTAGGTTGGTATTTGTCCTGCAACAAGCCTTAAGCTAAGAAATTATTTAAGCAAGGGAAACACCAGAACCATTGACATGTGGGACGTTTTAGTTAGCACAAAAATCCAAGCCACAGAAGGGCAGCTCCGACATGGGCTCTGAGTGAGCATCAGTGAGCAAGGCTAAGGGCTGGAGAAGCATGCCAAGATGCCAGAATGGGGAGAACAACTTCAGAAGTTAAGCTCAGACTTACAGCAGGAGAGGCAGTTTTCTGCTAAGTATGCCTCTACTAACAATTACTCACTATATTCAAAAAGGAAAGAGCACCCAAGATTGCACAGCTTTGCCTACTCACAGAGCCCAATAAATCTAGAATTATTATTTAACCTTGAGGTTCAAGGACACCCCACAAGGAGAAAGCCAAAGCAGGGAAGGACACTTTTCTCTGCTGGATTGAAACTTGAGTGAAAACTTCACAAGACAGAGACCAAGGCAAGAAGAGATGGACAAGGGCAGCATTCATGCAAGCAGAAGGGCAGAGGCTGACCAAGCTCTCACACGCAAAGTAATCAGTTGGAAGGAAACAAGAATGATCTTTTACTTGTTCATGAACCATGGGACCTGGGCTCTGGTATTAAGAGGATGGAAACACCAGTTTTAACGAGAAGGAAGGACTCCAGGAGCTAGGGAGACCTCAAGGCTAACTTGAAACAGAGACCTTATGACTGTTGAGGAGAAATAAACAACTGAGACATAAACAGAGGAATAAAGAGAGCATAGGGAATGTAGATCTACCATCCGGAATAAAAAAAAAAACAACAAACCCAAGTGTTATTAATGTTGTCAAGTACTTTGGGGAATGCAGTGGGTGTTTGCAGAAATCACCCAAAAGTAGAGCTGGCTGCCATCAGGGCGTGAGAGGCGTGGAAGGCAGAGCGCCAAGGACCACGGTACCTTCTCCCCCACTAGCTGATGGCCCCTTTCCCTGCTGCTCTCACGACAGTATCTCTCCCAAGGAAGGCTTCAGAGAAAGGTCTCCAGCTCCAATCCAGGGAAAGATGAGGCCCACCACTACTCTACCAGCACCGCTTCCCGCTCAGGGACAGCCCAGCTGTGGCAAACAGCAAGATGGAGAGAGAAACCAACTGAGCCATGTGGCCATTTGCTGTTGTACCCACACAGGAGGCCAAGGGCTCACTGCAAACCGTTGGATGGACTAACCCAAGGCATGAGCCACTGTTACTGCTAAGACAGAAAGGGGTTGGAAAGCAAAGCAGAGGCAGCTGCAAGGTTGTACCCTCTGACCTCCTCTCCGACTCCTCCGCCATTTTCAGTGCCAACATCTCTGCCTCTAGCACCTTCTGTTCCATCAGCCGCTTCTCCTCCTCCGTCCGGATGGCCGTGGCTTTTATTCGCTGCATCTCCTGTTCAGCCTCAGCTGCTTTCTGAGCCAGGAGCTTGGCTTCCTCCTCCGTGATCTGAGCCTTCTCCGCCAGCAAGTCTGCTGTCTCTTCAGACCTCATCTGAGAATTGAGGCACATTAAGCCATCAAGTGCGCTGAATGTCTCCCCAAATGTGCTTACAAGCCCCGAAGCAGAGCCCTGAGCTGCTCGCTCGGCACGGCAGCCATGGCCCATAGAGTCCCTCCCTTCCATGAAAGCCTGCAGCCTTCTGCAGCCAAGACCTGGATGTGCCCAGGCTCCATCCCAAATCACCCTCCTTTGTGCTCCTCCCACAGCAGGCTAGCAGGATGAAATCAACTCCATCCAGCCTCCTGATCACTGTCCACCAGCAGCAGCGTGAGAATAGCCACAGGACAGTCACAGTGTGCCTCCTAAAATGCTTCAGTAGTGGAAAGAGTGAGGAACAGCTGCTATGCCTCGGGAAACAACCTCCTAGACACCTACCAGAGCCTCGTTGGCCATCGTTGCCTCTTCCTTTAACTGCATCAATCTTCTCTCCAGCTCATCCCTTGTCCTCTCAGCCTCTTCTCTCATTTTCTTCTCTCGGGCCAGGCGCTGCCGTTCCATCTAGGAAAAAGGGATTGGCGAAAGCAAGGAGAAATAACACACATTAGAAAGGCCTTATGTAGGATGAGAAAGGGTCACAATGTGGGGCTTCAAGCACATGACTCCACTGCTGCCTCCTCTCTGCTTATCAACATGGGGAACTTCACTAAATGTGGGTGACCTGATGCACTCTGCTTCCTTGAAAAGTGCCATTCCTGAGACAATCCCCTATCCTCTGATCAGGCTGTTCCCCACAGCACTGCCACACAAGCTGCCTGCAGTTGATTACATCCCCAGACAGCACCCTCCTACGCTGACTCACAGGGCGGACACACAAGTAGGGTCCCAAGAGCTCCAACTACGCGTGCCTGGAGTTTCTTATGGCAACCTGAACAGACAGCAAGACTGGGCTTCGGGGCAGTCTGAGGGCACCTTCAAAATATCAAACATAGACACACCACAAGGCAGGAGTGTGAGGGATGTGGATAGCTGCAACTTTTGATCGGACATCTAAGCCAGCATGCTGGAAACTTCACTTCCACTCACTTATAGGAGACATCACAAAGAGTGCAACCACCTCTGTCGATTCCTAGATAAAATAAACTCTCTGCCTCCAGCTCGGTCTGCAGGAAATAACAATGCTTCTCCAGGAGGGGAAGATCCAAGCTACGCTGAGACAACCCACCAGAGTATGTCAAGAGTGTTGTGCAGACAGAGCGTGCCCAACAACTGCCCCTCTGCTAGCCAAGCGCCCAAAGGGAGCCATCGGGCTAATTAACACACCACGTTTAAAGCACTCCAGTATGACAGAGATGGGTGCATTATAAATATCCACACTGCAGCTAGGACTCGCAGCATCACACAGACCACCTGCTGGGTTTAATAAGGGAAATAAGTGCGACAAGACACATTTCTCTGCTCCTTGGACACCAACTGTGTTTTGAAAGCGGGACGCCCACTGCTCTAACGGCTCTGCTTCCTTCTATTAAAGGTTCCCCTCATTAATTATCATTACAATCTGCATCCCACTCAGGACTTCCATTAACAAGAATTCCCGATACAAAAGGACTATGTGGAACCAGTTAACAACTGTGGATTCCGGGGAGGGAGGAGAGAGCAGGCAAGACAGCACGGTGGCTAGCTCAGGAGAGGGCAGCCAGCCCAAGCTGAAGCCTGACCTTTCCCGCAGAGCACAAGTGCTGTGGATTTGAGAGCTCACATGAAGCGATAAGTTCCTGCTCACTGTCAGTGCCCTCACCTCTTCCAGCAGTCCAACTACGCACAGGATCTCAGGTCTTGCCAGCACTACTCAAATGCATCAAAAACTCACAAGACGGTAAAACCTGTCCCTGAAGCCACCGGCACTTGGACACCACACTGCTTCTTCCAAGGAGGACCTTCTGATCCAACTCCTTACTGACCAGAGGAGTCCCCATGGGAAGCAAGACGACCCCCTCCCCCAGAGGAGCTGGCCGGGTTACCCTCATACTGACTCATGTCCTCTCCTCTCCTGCCACCCCACAAGCTACAGGAGGGAGAACTGCTGTGGGAGGTGTCTGCAAGACAAGCCACATCACATCTCCAGGTCAGCTGAACACCTCAACACCAAGTCCAGCGCCACACAGGCACCCTGTGAAACACGCTCGAATCCATTAACTCAGCGGTCCCTTGAGCATAAGGCCTTCCTGGGTGCAGGTGACTGCTTTGGTTTCTTCTGCTGCTATCTAGCAGCTTTACTGCGAAAGGGACATTTATATTCTAAGCATCAGTACTCAGATTAGCTGTGCAGGTTTCAGGGAGTAGAAAAGGTCTACAAGCAGAAAACAATGATTCATACAATCCAATTTGCTGATATATGCTCATCGGCTACACGCTGCTGCCTCCAAAGAGCCGTTTTCGCTGCCTGGGCTGACCTGCAGCAGATAAAGGAGGCCAGCACTGAATTAGCATGCAGGCTGCACGCCCCGAAATGTCGGCGTGCATTCCATCATCATGTAATTAGAAAATGAGGCGAAAAACTATGGCAAAGCACAGCTCCCCCTCCCAGCCCCTGCTTTAGTTACAAGCAACTACCCCAACATACTACATCTTTCCAGCTACAGAGCCCAGGCATAAACTGAGGCAGAGAAGATGCACACGCACTTGTAGGATATCCAGATCAGCTCTTCCCTTCCATCCTCCCAGTTTTGCTCCCGAGTGTGGGGGCTGGACTCGGGCTGCCAGGCTGCCATCAACCTGCAGAGCCAAGCTGAGAATGACTGGCGATGTGGGAGCAGGCTACTAAAAAGAGCTGTTCAGCTGGACCTTCCCTCAAAGCTGCTCTGTGTGCTTGATGTCATTCTGGAGAGTGCTCCTTCCCAAGTTCATTTGCATTTCTGATTTTGGCTCACAGTCTAGTTATAATGAGAGGTCTCTCACCTGCTTCCTGGCTTTCTCCTCCCTGGCCTGCGCTTTCATCTGCTGGACCTCCAATGAGTCTGCCTTTCTCCTCCTCATGAAGAGGTCGTGGTTTCCAATACACAGCTGAAGAATCTATTCCAGTCAAGGGTGAAGAGTGGAGAGAAACAGCTGTACACATGACGATGATGAGGTGGTTTGTATTCTTGACACACAAAAACACTAGAACTGCTTTGTTTTGGTGCTTGTAAGCACTTCCACCCACTGATCTCAAACCCTGTGAGCTCTCATACTCATATGAGGGGCAGGAAACCAAGGCCCATACCAAACACCAGCTCCTGGGTTATCAGCTCTTGGCAGAGACCAATCTTCTGTTCTCTGTGAACCCAGAACAGCACGGTTCTGGCAAGTTTTATACCAGCCCTAAAAGTCCAATTAATGAAACAAAGACTTTTACAGCTCTGACCGCTTCCCTGTTTCTCGCTGCCCTTTTTCTTTAGGCTCAAGATGAACTTGTACCTTCTCCCAGCTGCATGTTTAAAGCATTGAGATTAAAAAAAAAAGAAGGAAAACCATTTTCCATCTTGGACATACAGAAGGCTTATCAAAAACTTTCTTGGACATTTTCAGATACCTTTGCTGAAGGGTTTTAAGCACCAGTGTGGCTTCCTCTGATACTCAAGGAGGACAAGGAAGGTGGCAATACTAGAGGAGGGTTAGCAAAGGGCTGGGTACATAGAAGAATGAAAGCTCTTTTCAGCTATAAAAGCAGGTTTCTAAACTCAGCTTCTTTTCTAAGGACTGATTCACATGCCCATCTTCCATTTCACAAGTCACAAATGACTTCTCTGGAGTCAGAGGAGTTTCGGCAGTATGAACCTGATGAGTGCAGTGAACGAAGCCTTTGTCAGGATTCCCCACTTCCCTACGGCACGTGAAGTACATGACAGCCTACAACCAGTACAGCAAAGGTCCTCTGTGCAACTCATCAACGATGTGCAGCTACTACAGAATCGGGATCAACACTCCTCCAGAAACCAAATCTAGAACACCACCTAAAGCTGGTTTCCAACAGGGATGCTGAACGGAACAGCTCAACGTAGTCCCTTCCCTCCTTGTACAAGGAGAGTGTCCTCAGAAGGGACCAGCCTAGGAAAAGCCAGGACTGTGACTCTGGTAATGGTGTATCCAAAACCAGAGATCTGCATCACAGGACAGAATGGAAAAAAAAATGCAGGAGAAGAAAGGGGATCTGGAGCAAAGACGGGAGTGATGAGAAAGTTTTATTTACTAAGTGTTTCTGTCATGTAGGTCAGCTGTAACCCAAGAGCTCAGAAAGGGAGCACAAAAATAGAAGAGGGGGCAAAGGTTCTGTGAAGGAGCTTGGCTTGAGCTTCCCCCTTCTCTTCTAGGGGCTATGACTGAGTAGTAACCGCTATACCAAATCGCATCTGCAGTCCTGCCAGGCCAGCGCACTCCCTCCGACTGCTCGAAGGAAAAGCCCCAAAAGAAACTACTGCTGCAGGCAATAAAAATTACTCTGTCTGTAGACTTACCAGCTTATTCACACGCAGCTTTGATGAATTGAATTTAAAAACATCAATCTTTTTGTCCAATGGCTTAATCGTAAACTGAAAAGGAAAAAATAAAGAGAGAGAGAGTTATCAGAGAGCGGTGCATTTAATAAAAACACAGCTATAAAAGTCTTACTGAAAGCTTTGGCTCAGAGGAGGTCAGCAGTGTCAGACAAACAAGGCTGAGAGCTGTCCCCGTGGCTTTTAGCCAAGCAAGAGAACTAGTATCAAAAGCAACCAAGGAGACAACTGTTCCTCCGGTCAGAAAAAAACATGAGTGCCACACAGAAGCAATAACAGTGCTGTCCACCTACAGACTGCAATGCCCGACAGCCGGTGCCCTCTGCAGAGCATCTTGCAGAAGGCAGAGACAGCTCAGCACCTCCTGAGGAAAGGCAAGATGCTGCCCTCCTGGCAGCTGTAGAGAATGGAGAAGTTACAGCAGAAACTCATGACACTTCTGAAGGAAGGACCAGCTCAGCTGCCCCATGGATGGGCAGCATCAGAAACAGGAGCTGGTGCCCTTCCCACTGACACCTCACAAGGGCTGCCCAGAAGGATTTTTCCATGCATTATGTTCTCCAGAAGTCAGCTGTGTCACAAGACTACTCCACAGTTCAAAATATTATTCCCTCGCTCTAACTTGTATTTACAGTCCATGTGCCAACCGAACAGCTGTAACCATGGCCTGGGATTACCCTCTCCACAGAGCTTTCCCACAGTGGGTCTCTCAGGAGGATATAGGTGGCACTGCCAAACTCAAGAGTTTTGGTAATACAGCCCCTGGATAGACAGAAGACTCTGAACTAACAAAAGGATACTTGAAGAGACAGAGTGCTCCACAACACTGCATTTTTTAGAAGGCATGCTTCTATTCCATCACTCCCCCACACGCTACAAAAATAACCGGCTGAAGAGATAGCTCTCAAGCAGGCAGTCTGTGTCCATTAAAGTAGGTCTATTTGTCAATACATTGTACTGCCTGAAAAGGCTCAGCAGAACTCGCCCTGGCAGTGTTTTGATTTGTCAGTTTAAGAGCCAATCTTTTAAGACTTTCACACAGCCAGACATGCATGAGTGTCCCTGGACTTGGGCTCCGGCAGAACCCGCACCAGTCACTGGAAGCAACAGCAGAAATATGTCAGGAGAGGAATTTCAGTTCCATGTAAACAGTCAATCTTCGTTACGACAGATTAAACCCCTCTCTTGTGTCGACGCAGCTGTCATACCCAGCTATTAAGTCTGTTTACTATCATGTCAGGTCTACTTGTGGTCATCTTATTACACAGATGATTGACCTGATGGAAGGTGGCAGTCCGTTTCCCCAAGACAAAGTTCTATTACAGTCTTGTGTCAAGGCCTTGTTAGGGAGGCTTCAATCCCCAGATTGCTGAGGCAATGCCCAAGCAGACAGCTTCCACTGCACTCATCTGTCATGGGCCTCCGAAAGTCACTAAGTGCGGGGCTGCTTTGAAGAGTTGTGAAGCTCTTTTTAAGGAGTAAAACAGGTGAAGAGAATTCCAGCATGGCCTTACTACCTATAAAGCTTCACACGACATGCAATAAATGCAGCTGATGAGAAACCTTTAGCTTTTATCCCAATCGATATAATGTTTAGACTGGAAAACAATTTTTAATCAAGAAGTTAATTTTCTTCCTTACCATGAAGGCAGCTGGTTTTCTTTGAACAACTCTCACAGAGTGAAAATTGAGCAGATCAGTTTCCCCTCCACAGCCAATTTCACTGCTATTCGCAGCTAGGTTTAGTGGCCAATGATTCAGATGATTCGTATTTATGCTCTGGATTTAATAAATATCTATCCAATAGTGGTCTTAAATTACCCAACTTCCTAAAAAGGTTCCAGCTGTTATGCCAAGCCCAGCAGCCTAAAAACTCAAGATGATGTAATGATATGGCAAGAGCTCTTCTTGCCAGAAATACACTGTATTTCATAAGACAGTATATACACACAGTAATATATACTGTAATACATGCAGTAAGGCAGAGACCTCAACTTTGATGTTTGAGCTAAGCACATCAACAGCAATTTTGGTTTTTTGAAAAAAATTACATAGTGGGTTTGAACGTACTCTAAAAACAAACAGGAGAATAGCTCCCAAGTTGACCGCTTCTACGCCCACTCCTGGAAGGTTTCAGAAAGGCTGGAATTAAGGTTTCAATTGGAGAAGCTGAGCTGCCCTTAGCTAAGCTGGTGATAGCAAGCTCAGCAGACAGAGAAGCTAAGAGAAATAATTTTAAATCACAATTGTGTTCTTACTGCTCTGAGGGAAGAGGGGAGATATATCCATACCTCTTTATCGCTGTATGAGATATTCCGAATCTCGTTCCATGGAAAGGAGATCTTTGGGGTCAACCTGTTGTCTGGGTCATAAATGTGAAGACCTAAGGCATCAACTCCAAGGAGCAGCTCGGTGCCCTTTTTATTCTACAGGAGCAAAGACAAGAGCAGAAAACCCTTTTATTCCCCTCGGAGGGTCTGCCATGAGCCATTGTTAGCTTCATGCAGGGACCCACCAGCACTGCGGATTAAAAGAGCTGCCTCCCCAGCAGCCAGCATCAAAACACGCTGCAGCAGGGACTCTCACCACCGGACCGCAGCCATCTCCCAGGTCTGCTGGCTCTCCAAGGCTCCACTCATTCAAACTCACAGCAACACAAAAGATCAAGACTAACACAAGAGCTACGCCAGCAAGAAAGCATGACCCACAACCTACACTCACCCTAATCGCGAAATAGTTCACTCCATACATCTCCAAGTCCTGAGCTATCTTCAGATACTCCATTTCAGCTTCATCTCTGTCAGACAAAAAAATCCAGTGTTACGATGTTTGGCAGGATCAGAGAGAGGGGGATGGCTGCTCTTTCTGATCCTAAGCACACACAAGGCTTTAAAGCCTGGACTGTCTCTATCGCACAGGTCAAGCCTGTCTTTGCTGGCAGGATCAATAAACTCCAACAGCAAATCCCACTCTGCAGCTTGCCGGCGTCTTAATGGCTGTTGACGCCTGCCTAACGAGATGCAGCACTTCACGCCTTGCTTTGTCCATCTCCCAGTCCCTTAAGCATAAAGAGGAAATCCCTGCCTGGGAGACCTCCGTTTCAGATCCATCTGACTGTAGGCTTATCCCCCACAAGAAGCATTTGGCCACCCGAGGCAGCAATACACCTCATCAGGCTGAATCCCCACTCCTTTTCCTGGCCCAGAAAGCACTCTGACCCCCTCCCTGTCCCTCTGCAGATGGTCCTTTACTGAGCATCAGCCCTAAATTCTCTCGAGGACACTGTGACCAGGGGACAGCAGGGGACACGCAGAGCAATCAAAGAAAGCCCTTTGCCCTTTGTGAGTCTGCTCCGGGGGCGTGCTGGGACTAACCCTGCTGTCAGCAGAGCTCATCCATCGCCTGCCCGAGCTCCCCAAGCCCTGGGGACTGACCCTGACCCACCACCGCAGCACACACTCACCTTGCTCTGCCTCGGTGCTCTGCGTACCAGGCTGTTATCCTTTCCTCCCACATCTCTGGAGTCATCTGGTACAGGTTTATTACCTGAGATATGTGAGGAGACAAAGACCGGGTCACACTGCTGCTCTTGGCACAGCCTCCTTGGCCAGCAAGCAAGCCAGAAACACCCAAGCCCCAAGCAACCGCTTCCCAGCACCGCGTCTGACCACAAGACAGGCGACTCGCAGCAGGGCACGCTCAGCCCCGCGCCCTGCCATCGCCCAGCGCTCGCTCAACCCTCCCAAGCACACAGCACACAGCATCCCCGGGCCATGGCCAGGAGATGCAGGCAGGATGAAACCGCGAAAAGGAAGTAAATATTTGCATCTGTTTTTATTAAAACGTGTCAGAAAGACTGAATTCTCCTCCCTCCATATATCTTTCTGGATTGTCTGCCTTGGTAAGGAAGCCCAAGGGAGGCAAAGCAGGGTGCACAGAGACTTTCTCTGCCAAGTGCTCTGTTACACAAACCACCACCAGGCTTGGAAATGTACTCCTCCGCTCGACTGAGCTCCTTACCCGCTTTGGAAGCAACTCCTCTTGGGCCAAGAAGCCTCGCTTGTGGACATTGGGATCGTAATCACCGTACTGGAAAGAAGCACAGACATTGTGCCCACCCCACGTTAATAACACGGGCAAGTAAAACTCTTTGCTCTCACACATCTACCCCTTATGGAGAGATCAAATGCAGGCTGCTTACACCCTTCACATCACAACCTGCTAGAGCAGACAACATATGCTGCTTGGTAAATTTAATAACCATATTTTCTTTGTCATTGGACTGCTAATAGAAACACCCTCCTCCTTTCTACTTATGCGGCAGAATAGGACGCAGAACAAAACTTCACACCGTTGGCTGAAGTCCACCATCAGCTGATGTCCACCGGTTGGACGAGATGATCATTGTAGCTCCCTTCCAACCGAACTGTTCTACTTTAGTTACCATGCCCAGAAAACACTTCTTGCGATGCAGGGAAAGACCCACTCTATAGCTGTGAGGTCCCTGCCTTCCCGCAGGGACAGAGAGTCAAGATACAGACAAAGACCTGTCCCTAAAGACTGAGCTACACCAGGTGAGGCAGATGGTGGTTTCTCTGTCACTGCTCACCACCCTAATGAACAAATATTAAAAAAAAAAATATGGGAGTTCAACAGACAATTGCAGGCTGCTCTCAGGCAGGTGTCAGTTTTTCTGCCAGAGGGCCTGTTGCTCAACTGGGTCATGGAATCCAATTCAGATTTGTTAAGTGCATCCAGTAATTACTAGTATTTGTTTAGATTTACATCTTTTTGAGCAGCATATAAAGTGACTGAGAAATAAAACTGCTTATTAACAGATTGAAAAGCCAAGTGTCCCTGCAGTGCGTGTGAAAATGAATTTACCTCCCGTACAGCTTCAGAGGGCAGGAAACAGCCAGAAAACAGCACCTCAAATAACCTAGCAAGTTCAAGAGAAGAGGACGACGGACGTGAGGCACGTACACGCAAAATGCTGCAATTTTCATTCACCTGGCAAGCAGGACTTCTGCAGCGACATTACCCAATTACACAAGACACGGCAACGCTTGCTCAAGTCGCTCCTTTTGCAAGGGAGACGGCCCTTCCCTCCCGGCTCTCCTCAGGCACCTCAGCTCATACAAAATGGCGACAATTTTTACAGCCAAGACCAAGGCACACACGGTGCTCACGTAGCACGTCAGGAAGCTTTCTGTATCAGCCTCCTTTTAATGCCAGAACCATCACGTCGCACGCTGAAACCGGAGTTCGGCATCACAAGTCTACACAGACATCCCCTCCGCAGCCCAGCCTTTCGGAAGACGACAAGCGGGGATTAAAGACGCAAATATTGATCTGGAGCCAATGCAGATGCGGAGGAAGCATGCAACAATCAACACTGACTCAGACTTCAATTAACATAACAAAACCGCCACGGATTTCATTCAGGAAGGTGCTGAGCAGCGGCAACCGTCTATCTTCCAATGTCTACAGATGCTTGGAGCTTCTCAGAAAGCAGCGCATTGCAGATACATGTCCCTTGAACCCACATCAAAAGGGAACAGCAATAAAAAACGTGGCACGGGCAAAGGAAACATCTCCAATAACCTTGCAGGGGCAGAAAATAAATCATTTTTAGGTGATGAAAATAATAGCAAATAGGATTAACACGATTATTTTTTGTTGTGATCTACCGTGGAGACCCAAGACTAAGTATGGATTATGTGATTTTCATGTGGTGAAAAATATTGCCACGTCCCAAAGGAATATTTGTACTGAGAGGGAGTCTGGATGAGAACATTAATTATTCACAAGTCAAAAATCAACAAATGGCTTAAGTATTGCAGTACATGTTGGCTCAAATGATTCGGCAAGCAAACTTTTGAAGACCTTTTCAATTAAATCATTACTTCAAAACTGTCATGCAATTTCAGCTCCTGTTAATTGAACTACATGATTAATATTCATGGTTACACATGGAAGTTGCCTTTACCTCATTCATACACCTGGCTTACATCATCCTGCATAAACACAGGCATGTTCAGCTTCAAACTGTTAACACCAAGTATTGTCTGTTTTGGGGGGGAAAAAAATAAAACAAACAAGAAAACAAAAATAAAAGGGCCCTTTGCTAGTGCTACAAGATTTGAAGTGCTGAGAGGGCTGCAGCATGGCAGCGATCTGCATTTAAGGGGCAAGAAAAGGAAGAACCTCCTGGATGTTATCGTTTTCTGCCGGGAGGCGTTCTTCAGTAGATTCCACGTCTCTCCCGGCTATTTAAAACCCGAACCGCCTCCAACATCTGAAAGCAGTGTGGGTGGTTTGAATGCAGGGCTAGAGGGGAAAACACATAGTAATTCCCCAAATGATCACAACGATATAGAAATAAATAAGCTTTTATTTTTATGACCCACACGCTTACTTTGTTATTGCAGGTAGGTGCGCAACACAGTACAAACCAACCTGGCTGTCAATCAAATGGCTGCAAACACACTGCTATGTCGGGCTATTATGCCCCTAATCATGCAAATCAGCACGTTATTAGTGAAATTACTGTGCTCAGTGGCCGCTTTCTTGTCCAGAAAGCACATCATTATCCTATTTAACTGGAAGGAGATGACCTGCAACATCTTTCTTCGCAGCTCCATACCAAAGACACGCTTTCAGCTTTTTTCTCTGCTGAAAAAAAAAGCAGAAGGGGAAACCCCGTGTGGAGGGGCAGCATGGAAAAGCGATGTCTGATGCAGACATGAAAGCACATTAACAAAGATCAGAAAAGGCACCCCTCTTCCACCGTCTCGCAATCCCCGTGCAGAATCAAGACGTGCAGGGTCAGGAGAAGCGCTCTGACTCCGGCTGACCTCCTCCAGACAACTGAGCGTCGAGCACGTCGAGCGTGCCACTGCGCGCAAGGTCAGCGGCCAGGCTGCAAGAAGAGAAAGGGGAAGGCACAACAGTCCTGTACCAAATCACAGCCTGTTCCCGATCGCGCGGGCGGGAGCTGTCACGGCCAAGAGTTAATAGTGCTCAATATTTACCCAATGGTTTATTCATTTTGGCAACAGGAAAAGTCATCCCCTAGGTATCCTCAGCTCAGCGGGTCAATGGAGAAAAAGCCAAGTAAGTGTTTACTCAGGCACTCTAATAAGAGTGATGGATGTTTCACACAAACAGAAACATTTCTAAAAGCAACCTGTCTTTTCCTGGCCGATGAATCTCTCGAACAAAATACGGTTTCATCAATATTCTGACTATGAGGAGAAAACATCTTTTTCTAGTAAATTCAAACATTCATCATCAAAGAACACCGCTGCACGTCACCCAGGGCTGCATTCAGACAAACCAGGCATGGGCTAAACAGTTATGAGGAAGATTATACGGCAACACGGAAAAAGCCACAGTGAAACGCTGAGGACTGGCCTCTGTTTCCAGCCGGCCTGGATCAGGACCTCTTCAGGCAGCAGAGCCAAATCCCCTCTCCGGCACTGTCAGCTAAGGTGGTCTCACAGATCGGAGAGCTACCCTGCTTCTCCTGAACTGCTCGACAGTTGTGCTCCTCAAGGACAGGCCGACGGGCCAGACCCAGGGCACGGCCACCTGCCTGCAGCCCCGTGAGCCCAACATCCAGGGTCAGAACCGACTACGACCACGAGGCTACAGCAATAAGGTAGCTGGGCTGCAATCAGACTCCAGTCATTCCTTTTCCAAAGACGCTATCTTTACCCACATAAACTGGAGATTAGCTAGTAGATTGGTTAATTGAGCAGCAGTACATGTTGTGCATATACAGGGATAAATTACTTCCCCTCCTGAGAGAACGACCTCACTCCTGAAGCTCGGGCTGCTCGCTCTATCCCAGGAGTCCCTCTGCTGTGGGCTGCTGCAAGCTGTCCAAGGCTGCATGCTCGACTGGAAAACAGTGTTCTCTTAAATAAATCCTCAGCAAAACACACTGACTCTGGGGCCAGAACAGAACTCGGCCAAGGAACGCGAGGAACTTAGTGACCATTGACTTATTCCTCTGTCTAGTGAGGCCAAACACGCAAGATAAAGGGAGAAGCCAGAAAGACTCTTAACACTGCAATAACATCTACATGGCAAGCTGTAGCACTCAGAATAAAGCAGTTATCTTGATGACAAGTATTCCGGGGAAGCAGAGGAGCTGCAAGTCCCAGGGCTGGTTTGCCTCTGGCTACAACAGCAACAGCAGGGAGGAAATCCAAAAAACACACAGGCTTGGGGAATTCACCTGCTCCAGCAGTAAGCCACACTTGAACAGGCACTGCAGCTCATAAGCTGATCATTTGCTAAAGAGTCCTGGAAAGGGAAAGCAAAAATTTGTCCAATGTCTGAAGGTAGCCAGAAACCAGCCGTGCCGAGAAGGCTGTAGTGTTAGTGTAGTCCCCTCACTTCCCAAGTTTTAACAAGTTTTCCTGCCTTCCCCTTCCTCAGGAAGCGGTGTCACATCCTTAGCAGATGAGGGAGACAAGTGACTTAGATTTGTAAATCCCCAACAGAGCAGACAACGGTGAGAAAAGTCTCAAAGTCCGTGCACAGACCTTTACTAATTTCCCACAATGTACTAACTGGATACACAATAATTGGCTAAGTATATAATGAATTATGGCAAGCAGTACAGTATGTCTTGCATTATTTAATGGCAATAAGGGAGAAGGGAAAAAAGAAAAGAAGAGAGATAGAGACTAAAGAAAGAGAGATCACCGGTCAGGGGTCCTGAGTTAGTCCCATCCAAGTTCATCTGTCTTCTTCACATCTTTTTTCTTTCTATATTTCACTCCTTGCACTCCCACAATTTATACGCATTTTCCTTAGGTCCATCCCCTAGGCCTGCCCACATACCTACATATCAGATGTATGGGAAGGAGTGAGGTGCTTCATGGGACGATGTAATGAGCCTGATCTCGATAATCTTCATTAGCATATTCAGAGGTGTCAACCTTAATATGCATTTTGCAGATAACAAAACAAAGGTCATTCACCAGACAGATGGCCCTTGAAACTTTACAAGCTGCACCAGAGCAGAGCCATCCTGCCTCCACAGGGCTCCCTCCTCCAGCTGCATCCTGTGCTACCCAGGCAGCCTTATCAGCTCCACACTCCACATTATTCACCCTGGGACTGTAGCTTCGTTACTTGCAAGTGTTTAAGATGTTGCTCGGCTCAGAGGGCCTGTGCTCCCCCCATCCCTTATCTCTTTCTCAGGCTGTTTTTCTCAGTCCCTGTTTTGGGGAGTTACGAGTCATCTCTCACAAGAGGGTACATCGCAAAGGGCCTCGCTCCCCAGGAGCAACGCTAACCCTTCGCCAACATCAGCAGGCCCTTGGAGAATCCCCCTGTGCCTACCTTGGCTTGGACAGCGTAAGAGGCCAGCAGGACAGAAGCTTCAGGAGGACAGTAGATCTTCTCATCCAAAATCTGCTTCTTCACCTGCACGTAGCAGTAAAGGACACATAACGCACATTTAATGCAGCAGTGCAAAGCACGACTGCCACAGCAGATGGTTGCAGTTTGTTTTAACTCGAGCTGTCAACCACACAGTTAACAATTTTCCTAACACTAATTACAATTCAGGCCCAAGAAGTCTCTGGTGGCTTGGAAGGGAAGGGCTCAGGCTTTCACAGGCCACCTTTTTCAGACAGGTTTGCGAGAAGAGCTAAATTTATATGTGGAAAATTACAGAACTTATAAACTTATATCCCATTGCTAAAGGCAAAGCGGGGAAAAAATGTCTTGTGTGTAAACATGACATAAAACCTCTTAAGGCATAAGCCACGGATTGATATGACATCTATACATACCACTAAATTAAAAAAAGAAGTTTGCAGCCATGTCTCTGAGCACACAAAGGTTTTGCTCTGAGATATTCAGGCCTCATTATCAGCCAGTGCTCACCTGTGCTCAAGGCTAATTCCCTCCAATCCCACCGGCAGCAAGCAGAGCTGCGGGTCGCCTCCGTGGCAGTGCTTTTAGCAGCAGGCAAAGCCCTGCGTGCACTCCCAGGAGAGCCAACGAGCAGTTCCCAAAAGCCACAGCTTTACGTTTCCTGGCTTCTGTGCATTAAAAAATTAAACCTGTCATGTTCAATATTTTTTGGTTTTACACACTTAATTTTCCTGAATAAAGACAGAAAAAAGAGCATACTATTTCCTAGGAGACTTCAGGGGATTGTCACAGAGATGCAGTAACATCAATTTGAATTTATAACATGTTTTGAGTCCTCAAAGTTGGTTACAACATAATCACAGAAGATACTCCCCTGCACTAAGATAAAAACAGGAGTTCGCAAGCTTACGTGTGCTCCCATTTCCCATATGCATTACGGGAGCCCAGGCTCCTCTCATCATCAGAAATCCTAGTAGAAAAGTCACGGTCTGCATTTATAAAATGCAACTTTAACTGCTTTTCCTCTCCAATTTTCCTTTTCAAAGATGACAACAGCATTTTTCCTCATCAAGGATAAAGCCCATGGCAAATCAGACATTTAAAAATAGCCCTACGGAGACACCAGTGCATGAGACAGACCTTGGAAATTAACAGCAATACTTTGCATTTAGAAGTCCTTCAGCTCTGAAGAACAAAGATGAACTTTGAAAGAGTGAGGAGTACCAAGAAGCTGGTGAGCCCACTTTGATATCCATTTGAAAGGGCAGGGCACACTGAAATCTACGGTGGTATTTCAGAGAACATCCAAATTCATGTTGCCTCTACTTTGGTGTAACAAACATAAGAATTACTGTATTTTTTTTTATTTTTATAATTTATTTAATTTAGCAACTTCAAATTAGCAGCCACAGGGCAACTGAAACATCCCACTGAAGTTACCTAGGGGTCTGACTAGGACTACTCTACTCCTTGTAACCGTAACTGACACAACCCTTTATAGTTTCAGAAAACTGATCTTGTCTGAAAGAGAGCTCCTGTGACAGAAGCTCTTCGTTACCTGCCACGCAGCACTGCTACAACAACATCAGCTGAGCTGATTTCTCAGGACACAAAGTTTTGTAGTGTATTTTAAATAGAAAAGAAAAAAAGCCTGAAGATGTGTTCACCACAGTTTCCAAACGCTTTACATAAGGGCACGAGTTACTGGGGCAGGTGGGACAGTTGGGTTTCTCCGTCTCCCCCGCTTTTGCCACCAGTCTCTGACGGAGCTGTGTTTCTGGGATTTTCTTCTGCTCCAGTTACCTGAAGGCCGTTTTGCAAAGAGGTGAACCTTGCTGTACAGCCTGAACATGAAACAGGTTGGCCGCATTCTGTTCTTGAGGATGAAATTCCCCTGATTCACATAACGATGCTATCATGTACAAAGGCAATTGCCATCCCTCAGCACAACTGATACCCACACCCCGCAGAGAGGTAGACTCCAAGGCTGTGTGTGTCATTCAAGCCCACATCTGACAGATTCATTTCCCCTAGCTACCACACTCTAATATTACAAATCGCCTAATCATTCCTGACAGTCAGTTTACGAGGTCTGCAAGTCTGGGCATCTGCGACTGCTTCATCCAGACAAAGCATCTTTGACCTATTTTAAGAAGTTTTTGTTGAAGACAACTCCCTTCGGAGAGGTGTGAACATAACAATCCACACTCTGCTGACCAACTTTCTGAACCTGGAACCTTCTCACGCTTCTGCTCATCCTGGCTCCTTCTCCCTCGGGTTGGAAAACAGGGTACTGACACGGCTCCTACCTGCAGGAAGAACAAGTGCTGTGTGATTTCCTGGACCAGCTCCTCCTCTGCATTCTCAGGATAAAATTTAGCCAGGAAGTGAAAGGTGACAGGCTCCTCTGTTGGAACATCGTGATCCAGAACCTGTAGGATACAAGAGCCATTCAGCTACTCTTTCCAGCTTCTTCAGCACTCTGTCTCTTGGAGCCAAGACACAGCTCCCTCCTGTTCAGATCAGCACATCTTTTGTCAAGCACTTTAGACATCTAGAACAGATAAAACAACTTAAGTAGTTCAGAAACCATAGTTAAAAAAAGAAAACAAACAAACATTTCTGACACTCCTAATGATGCAAGAAAACAAACAAGGCAGAAACAAACAGCATGCGAAATGAGACAGCAAAGGCTGATCCTGAGCTGTTGTGCGCACATTGCCTCTTGTGAACCTTGCAGAGAGATGCTATATCCTGCGACGCCACCATCTGACTTTCTCGTCCTTTCCCTGCACTGCCTCCTCTTGTATTTATTTCAGTGTTGCTCCTTCCTACTGCGCTGGCACTGTCCGGTTCAGGTTCGTGTCAGCTTAAAACCTTGGCATGACATGTGAGACACCCAGACCTCCCTCACTGTCTTGATTACTGTCTCATTTTAGCGTAACATCCTTTGGATGCAAACAGAACCATGTCTATCACTTCCTCTAACCCACCCCTCAGCAACCTGGAGGCTTACATATTTGAGAAGTGTTTCCTCCCTTACTCCATCTCCTTTCACTCCTCTGGTTTTCCTCCTCCCTAACTCTTTGTAATCTCCACAACAAAAGAAGCCAAGATGCAACTTCACTTTTCTGATAAAGGCTTTCTCATTCAGGGGCACAGAAGAGAGACGTTCAGGTTTCATTTACATTACAGTCACCCTGAAGTCCAGCATCCCAGCATGGCTGTCTCCAAAATGCCTCAGGGAGATTCCATGTGCACTGTCTGAGGCTTCACAGATCAGAAGGAGCTGGGGTGGGGTATCTCTGCCAACTCTTCCCTGTTGATTTACAGACGTCACTGGGGATGAGATTTAAATACACTTCACCCAGCTCACTTCATTACCACACATAACACAACCTCAGGTAATCAAATGAAAGAGGAAAAAGTACGTTCTCCTTTGTCATCCCACATGACCTCTCAAGGGAGATTTGGTTCCAACCTTCTTGTCCATTTTGAGCCATGCCACTGTATCCTTGATAGTGTACTGAAGCCCGAAGAACCAGGTTTCTCTGAGTCCTAGTGTCCTGCATACAAGATCGAACAGGTCTTTCCCTTTCCACTTCACCTGCAGGAAAAGAAACGGGAAGAAGAGTTATAAAGATGGATTTCAGAACTTCACCTCCATTCAACCAAATCCATTTTTTTTTCACCTCACAATGTCTTTGAGAGTGTGGAGAAGGTATCTGGCACAGGTAAGGAAACACCCTTTATATCCTTCCATCTGATCTCATCTGCCAATCATCAACTTCTCCTTCACTAGGAAACTGAGACGTGATTTTTTTTTCCACACCTGCAAACAACTCTGTAAATAAAGTCCTCCTGTTTCGCCCTCCTGCAACCCTCAACAGAGGACTTGAAGGGTCCATCGAGGCGCCTTTTGAGCCATGCACTGCTATGAGCAGTCTGTTTCCAGCAAGAAATAAAAACTGCTCTTAACTGCCCCTTGGTGGCTTTAATGTCTCTACCTTGTAGCCCCAAGAAGCCCTGTACAAACTCGAGCATCAGCAACAGGGTTTCAGAGACAAGGGCGCAATGGACTCCTGAACATCACAAGTGGAACGATCTAGCTACAAAGTGTGTTTGTCCAGAGCTACCCACCCTGCAGAGGTAAAAGGGAGAAAGAGCTCAGAAAAAAGAAATGATCATGGAAGTCAGTAGTTCTCTCGGAGTATGTTTTGATAAGAGTCAAACTGCATTTTCTGCTGAAAATGCCAGTGGCAAAAGCAGCTCAGGAGCAGAGAAGACCGGTCCTGCTCAAAGACTGTGTCCTTCGAGCAATCCTGCAGCTGCATCTATGTTGTTACTGAAGTTTGCTCATAAAAACAGGCGGCATTGGGAGGCAGAAAGGTGAAGAGGGACATAAAACAGATGAATCTAATATGCCAAAGCCACTTTGATCTTCCATCTGCACGGTGGAAACAATTGCTGGACCGAGACATATGGCCATTACTCTAAAGCCCTAGGGCAAAAGGATCTCGACACATTCTCTTGTCACTACGACTCAATCTTGGTGCCACCTGGACAGCATCAATATTAATGCTCAGGCACGGCAGGGGCTGCTGGTGCGGGTGTCGCGCCGCTCCCGCTGTCACCCACTGCCGCCTTGTGGGCAAAGCCGCTGAGAACAAGCTTATTGCCATTCTGCTGGCTTTGATTAAATGAGCATATCGCTATTTTTTCCCCTCCCAGGGCACACACAAACGCACGCGCGTGCGCTGGCAGTCCCAGAAAAGAATAAAGCCGATGCTACCCTCCAAAAAAACAACACCCCCGGACGGCTCTCCACAGCCTCCCTGCAATTCATATCAAGCTCCATCAACACCTCGAGGTCAAAAACACCAGGAGGAGCAAGTTTTGCAGTGTTGTAATTATAAAACCCTAATTTCACACATTTAGCTAGCCTCCAGTCCCCATGATGAGCTCCAGCTCTGCACAGGATGGCTCAGATTGCAGAGGATCTTTTCCTGACTATTATTTTAAGAGGGAGGTTAATTTGAGGGTTCAGACAAAACAGAGCGAGACACATTTAAACAGCTATTTTGTACCATTTCTGTAGGCACATAAAACCAGGCTACCATCAAAGGGCTATTTCTTAACTAGAACTAAACTGCTTTGCATAAAGCATTATTGGCTTTTTTAAAATATCTGCAAAGACATTTCTAAAGCCTATTGCTTCACAGGAACAACCGGGGCCTGCACGCACGCAGCCCTGCACCAAACCTGTCCCAGGACAGGCTCCTGCGTGCTGCCGAGGGGAGCGTCTCCTTCCCAGACATCGCTCCACATCCCATGGGATCGGTGTTTTGAACAATGCTGGAGCAACCCTGCCAAGTCCCCCCCGGGTTGGGATCTCCAGCCGCTGCGGCTCCCCACCAAACCGCCCCTGCAGAGTTTCATGCAGGCACCCAAACCTTATTCACCACATTGCACCAGCTGCCACAACCCAGGGGTTTCCTCCCTAAAAGCAAGCCAGCAGTTAGTTTCGAAGACCAGCAGCAAGCATTAAAACAAGAGCTTTGTGTGTTTCCCCCCCCTCCCCGCAATTTTAATTTGAGGATGGGAATATTTTAAGTGATTGCTTCTGCTGCTAGATTTTACACCGCTGCTCTGTCATTGCATGCGTACGTTATGGCAGAAATATATATTTAACATTCCTGCCTGCACAGTGCTAAAGCCTCCAACCGTAACATCACACAGACATCCTCCCTGACTGTGCTGAATTACCTTCATTAAATATATAAATGGAACAGCAGCCACGTTTATTTCAACATACATGATTTCATTCCACACCTCGGTACTTAAAATAACGATCTGCATTCATGTGGCATCTTTTGACAGCTGAACTCCAACTGTTTTACAGACGTTGAGGACCTCGGCCCTCCTTACCCTTACTTGATAGGCCTCGTATCATTAACTGCCACATTTCCTGGCCATAAAACACAAAAAAAAGACCCCCCCCAGGCATGAGGAGAGGAAGAGAGGTGCTGTCCAAGGCTGGGCAGAGAGCCTGGGGGAGAGCCAGGATGGGCTGGCAGTTCCTCATCCCATCCTCTGCCCGTAACACCATTCCCCCACTCTGCACTAAAGTGACACCTGAAGCACAAAGACGACTTTGCAAGCCGTTACAAGCCTCTGAAAACAAAACAAAGAGGCTCAGAGCAGAAAAATCCCCTCTCAGCCTTATGCCAGAGCAGCTGGCACAATGTCATAATAAAGCTCAACGTCCCAATAAAAAGCCGCATCATGATAACCTGAACCCAACCTGCAGGACGTGTTGCTTCAGCGTCCTCGATCAGCTGCAGGCATCGCCTCTTACATTTGCAGCTTTGCCTTCTCCCATTAGCATGATCGCAGCACGGGTTGTTAGATATATTTGGCGAGTCGTTGAAGGAATACGTGGACGAGCTGCTTTATAAACAGGGTAAGTGCTGCAAGGCTGTTATTCTGCGGAGCTGGAATTTATGTTCTTTACTAAGTACAGAGTGCTTACAATTTATCAGCAGAGCGTTTTAAGTAAACAGCACTAAACACTTAAAACTCAGCAGCCAGGGGCTAGAATAGAGTATTTCCAGTACAGGTTATTGGCATCATGTTTTTCTTCAGCAGAGACATCACATTTGGCATCTATTAACAGGGTCTGCATTATTTATTAACCTGCACCAAGAGTCATTTCAACTAGCAGGCAACTGGACAATTTATTTCGGTGCACCACCTTTCCGTCATGTTTCACAACTGCTCCTTAGCTAGCGAGTCGATAAACCAGTGGCAAAAACGAGCGGAAGCGTTATGAGATCCCCTCATCATGGGGTGACAAGGAGAGAGGCCAAGCGCTACAAAAAATGGGTGCCAGGGCACAAGAGGGTGCAACCACCCTGCATGCAGAGGGTTGAGCAGGGGGTCTATGATTGCCAAAACCGCTGGCACAAGCTGATGCTTTTCTTCCAATGATGTCAAAGTGGATTTATGACAGCTACGTGGAAAAAGGTGGGGGGGGAAGAAAAAGGACATTTTTTTCACCATTTAAGATTAAGGTTCCTCATGTGAGACGCTCTCCTCAGGTAACAGGCAGGTGCCCAAACTCTGAGGGACAGAACCTGGCTCTGTCCAGGGATGGCAGACAGAGAGCTTGCCTCCCTGTTGTCACAAACACAAACCACTGGAGCTTCAGCCATCCCTGGGGTCAGGCTGGGGAATAAGGGCACAAACAAGTGCCTGGAGGAGAATAAGGCAGCGCTCACCAGCTCAGCCCAGGCACGCTGCCTCCCCGAGCAAACCCATCGCAACGGTCCCTCCGTATCCCACACAACCCAACCGCATGGCAGGAGGCACAGTATTGGGTTACAGCACGACCTTGAAGAAATTACTAACATCTATAAAGTATTTTACTGTGCCGATTTATCCTTAAAATAATGCAGACAATGGCTTTCCACCTTAGCAGATCACTTCATTAAGTGTTATCTCTCTGCTAGAGATGAGAGCACAGACCCCCTGTTGTGAGGACAAAACAGATGCCAGGAAGGGGACTAAGCCCCAGGAAGAAGTGCTCAGCTTCCAGCATGTGATGTTATTTCTATTGAGAAGCAAGCTTTAACAACAGGATGTAACACCTCTACACTGAAACAGGAGGGAGATGGCAGAGGGGAGAGGGCAGGGGCTGAGCAGAGCATCCCACCATTAACCACCTGGGAAACAGTAAATGGGTAAGCTGTGTCTGTTCCTCATCCCACCAGGAGATGCCCAGACAAACCATCCACAACAGTTTACAACTGAAACAGAGGGAACTGTGAGACTGCAGACCACATTTATTTCTCCTTCTGGACTTGAATGGTAACGGAGTGCCACAAACAACCATTTATTTGGATTAAAGCCCATTTGGAGCAAACGGGGAATCAAATATGCAACAGTCGTCAATTTTTTTAAAAACAAAGTGATGTCAAATACTTTCAATTGCCACTTACTGAGCCACAAGACAGGGCTGTAAAAGTTATTTTTATTTACTAATGCTACACGACAACTCGATAATGAGCTTTTAATTAAAATCTATTTCTGTTAACCACCAAGGAGGCCAAAAACGCGCCCAGGCGTAACGACGCAGATGGTGCAGCCAAGCACATTTCGTGGTGTCTGCCCGAGACAGAGACAGAGTGGGGTACACAGGCGAACAAGCTGCTGCAGCTCTGGCCAGCTGGCACTGAAACAAGTGGGAGAGACGGAGGGGACAACAACCAGTGATGTCCCCAAGCTTCACCCCATAAGTTGGGTTTGCACAAATTAAGAGTTATGGGGTCAAGCAGCAGCTCGACGGAGGGGAAGAAGCTCCAAGAGGCCAGGAGAAGGATGTTGTGGCTGGCAGGGACCTCTGGCCTTCCCACGCCAAGGATGCATAGAGATAGAACGTTAGGCAGAGCTGCCTCCGTGCTGCTGTCGCAGGGTTTGCAGTAGAGCACACTCCTCCCTGCCCCGGGAAGGGCCACGCAGAGCGGTGATCACAGAGCCGAGCCTTACCTCCGTGCAGGAGCTGACTGCTGATGGACACGGGGTATTTCAGCACGAGCCTGACCTGCT